AGCCCCAAAGGCTGTGACTCCCATGGGCCCCCTCAGCCTTCACCGTGATTGATTGGTATTGGGAAGTATGCGTATGAGGAGCATAGAGTCAACCAACTCCTGGGGGGGAATACTTTTGGGGGCTTTTGAACCTACAAAGTGCATCCTAGTTTGGTTTGATCATCTAAACGACCCGCATGACCGCGGTGTGCGTGCGTGCGTGCGTGTTTGTGGCAGGACGCGATCAGTCGACAGCTTGTGAGCGTGTGAAGTGTGACGCACACGACAGTTCAGACGAGAGCGGATCCGACGGGCAAAGTCAAAAAATTGTATTTCTGCACACTAGGTGGGTTTTGGACGATGAGGACATGAGCTAATGAGTCCATCCTCTCTCACGCACACGCAGGGATTATATTAGAGTACTGCACCAAAACCCGCCTCGTGACCTCAGAGGACACACATCACTATGACTGTCAGCATTCTGTCACCTCATCACTTTTGAACAATGTAGCAGCCAGCAAGTGAGAAGCAGAGACGGGGAGAGGCCGACAAATTGACTATGTTTGCAAAGCTCAAGGAACATATGGCATGGCTGTCTTTGATGGGGAGATATATGCATAGCTTTGAAATAAAAAGGTGTTGTGCTGTACTCCAGCTTTTGAATAAAATATTAAACACGCCTCCTTAATGGCAATTTGTCTCGCGCGCCTTTACGCGCGGGTTATAAAGGCCGAAGATCTGGGTCACGTCCTATGGGACACCAGACATTGAGCAACACTTACTCCTCTTTAATAATAAAATAATGCTGATGCAGGTTCATCTGGAAGAGACTCGTCCCTGGAACTCCCCTTCACACGGTTCCAGCTGTTTCTACAAGAGGACACGCTGTATTGTGACCATTGACGACCTGGATTCGTCATTGCTACTGGATCCACACCCGATACCTATTTGTCAGTTTAGCACTAATTTGTACCCAATCACGTCTCCTGATAGTGTGGTGAAATCGCCAAGTAAGATTGAAACAGAATTGAACGATGAAATATTCTTAACTTCCAATTTGAATATTTAATGTAAATGCATCTAACTATAGTATAGACAGTATGTAAGCCCATTCCCGCCACTGAAAAAGAAGGTCCTAAGTCATAATAATGAGATAGTATCTCATTATTATGACTTAGTATCTATTTATTATTACTTACTATATCATAATTATGAGATACCATCTCATTATTTTGCTTTAGCTATCTCATAGTCATGACATAGCTTGAATGAGGACGGGGCGTATTTCACAAAAACTTGCTCGTCCCAGTAAATAAAATACAACCTTCTGCAGGTAAAATCCTCTGAGAGGAGACTAGCGGCCGTTCAACAACAGCATACAAGTCATATGATTACATCGTCACTGTCCACATAATCGGCAACACCAGGGACACAGGACGGGTCAGGTAATACAGTTTGGGAGAGTGAAGTGCGTTCCGAATGGCACATGTAGGTCACATTTGGGAGTCAATCACATTGAGTTGGTTAAACTATCCTCCGTGTGCGTCATCCATACATTGCATTAGGGCTCATCAACAGGTGACTTAGAATTCAGCAAATAGACTGTAGACTGTGAAAATCATCTTTTGGTAGTTATATTTACGCCGTGGCAACACAATACTTTTCTTTGCACTTAGTTACTTAGACTTTTAGGTGGATAAGCTTGTGAAATTGCGCGCTGATGATAAAGCTGCAGTCGCAAAAAAGAGAGATCTGTAACAAATTTCCGTAATCCTATTAGACAGAAAATCATTCAATTTTTTCCCAGAGTGCCAGTGGAAGGGCGACAGAAACATCAGCCCAGAGCCTTAATCTACATTACACATAACGGTATTTTAGATGGCATTTACAATAGACACTGCGGACATAATTGTGTACAACAGAGCACATACTCATATTCTCCGAGTCCATCAGTTAACATTTGACAAAGTCTTAAATAAAGGTCTGTAATTTCATACACATCATTGGACATCCAGGTGGTTCTCAGCCATACGTTCCATACATAAGGGAAATATGCCCTCATCCCAAGGATAGTCCTTGAGATAACAGTCCTCTTGGGATATTTCTGTTTTAATTTCATCAGCTGGTGGAAGGAAATTCCTATTCACAAACCCAGCTGTTGGGCTTCCATGTTAGAGATATTTGAGGTAAAGGTCAACTTTGATGTTTACGATAGTCTCCCCCACTGTCTTCCCAGAGGACTTTAACTAAATAGTGCACTTCAGACAAAACTGTCCACAAATCCAGAGTCAGCAAAACGCTGCCTGCTCTCCATCTACAGCAGGTCCATATTTCACCACCGGCTGCTGTGTGTATCACGCGTAAACACACAGGGAGAGAGGCCATTCAGTATCTTTTCTTTAATTAAAAAGAGAAAGTGACAGCTGAATGGTCCTGGCTGCTATCAATCCATACGAGCCAGGCTGCAGGTCGCTGGTGGGAACTTCGCTTTCTCACTGCGTGGAAGTGTGTGTGTGTGTGTGTGTGTGTGTGTGTGTGTGTGTGTGTGTGTCCCATCCCAGTTGATACATTTCATCCTTTTAAGAGGGAGTTCATAAACTGCAGAGTAAGTGTAGGACAGACGAAAATCCCTGCTTGTGTATCACAGCAGAGTCCAGCCTTTCTAGCTTCAATGGGCAAAGAGGAACACGGTGTGAAAAGGAACAAAAGCAAGGAACACAACCAATCATGTGCCACTTCCCAGATTGCAGGTTGCAGCGTGTTGGCAGGCGGTGAGAGGAAGCGTTCAGTGTTCAGCACATTTCTGCTCTCACCTGTGCCAACACATCAGTATCGATTTTGTTTGTTTAAAACCTTCAATCTGCTAGATTAGAGGTTTGCGTTTAGGTGCTAAAAGCTGATGGCGCTTGTCGACACCACGCGTGCACATTTTTCCTGAAGTAGGTGTTGATGGAGCACAAACAGATTTCACAGGAAACGACCAACAAGCCTTTCCTGAACTTTGTTGACCCCTTGTTGTAGTTAAAGAAGGGTTCAGGAAATGTCACCGATCAGACTCGGCGCTTTGACGTGCTCTTGAGGAGATATTTACAACTCGTCCCTTCTCTCGCACGTCTCTGCCTCAAACTAGAGGTGGGGAGGGTGGGGGGGGGGATTTGATGCAAATGTTGCGTCACCATGACACCAAGCTGCAGTGTTTATACAGATTTGATTTGTCATGCTTTTGTCTTCTTCACACATCAGCTGTAAACCACGGGGACGGTACTTTGCAACAACAACCAGAGAGAAAAGAGAAAGACACAGCATTTGCGTCTTTGACCTCATCCCATCACACTTTGGTGCTGACTGCACGCGAGGTTACCCAGATGTTACCTCAAGGGCGCACACAGAGTGATGGGTATGTGTGGAGAAACCCAGCAGAGGATTCTAGGAAACATTCAAAAGCCCACAGAATGACCAGGTAACATTGTGCCATCTCAGGACGGTGTGAAGAGGCCCATTGATGCCCCCGTAGAGTTTTCGCTCAACTCTTTTAACAGCTTTGTGTGAACTCGTTCCGCTCATACAACAAAACCAATTTGACTGTTTGCCTCTAAATGTCACTGGGTGCAGGTCGCAAGAGAAAAGGTGAGACGAGGAGATCGGTTTAATCTGGTATTTAATAAGGCTTTAAAAGAATTGTGTTTGGTGTGTTTGCTTGGCAGGTGGGTCAACTTTCATAATCAGATATGGCGGTTCGCACACTTCGAGCAGTCAAAGCAACAGAAGGTTGTCCAATCACAGCTCAGGGAACGCCATAAAACTCAAGAGTTGACTGAGCAAATGTTTGATGTTCTATCTCACCGGGAACAAATGATATGATCTTTATTCTTATAATGTCAGCTTTTGTGAATTTTTGTTACTGTATTTGCTTTTAATCCCACTCAGATAGCATCTTCGTTCAGTGCAATGATAGTTTTTGTTATCATTGTGTTATACAACATTTTCATAAAAAACAATAGCTAGCGGCCATCTGACTTCAAATAGTGGCCTTGTGGTCGGCTGATGTCCTCTAAACACTGTGTGGAGCACACAAAGGCCAACTTTCGGATGCAATGTCAATATGCCAATAATGTCAACAAAGTCAACTTCCTGTTGCCAATGCCAATGTCAATCTCTGTCCTGTTCTCATTCAGAGTGCAGGGAAAATCTGGAGCTATTTGGGGATCTATCAAAGCATTTAGCATAAATGTATTTCATTGCTCTCCCTTTGGAAATACATGATAGGAATCAAAAGAAAAATCTGAATCCCACTCTTAATTATATCAGTCCTGCACCCTGTTAAGGAACTTGTGACAAGGCAGGTTCCTCAATCCTGATCTATGAAGTTATTTACACATATGCAATAATCCAACCAGACGCTGGACACAATTAGCTCACCTCAATGAAAAAGTTGCAATCAACATTTTACTGCCCCGTGAGGTCAATCCCAGAAAAAAACAGCTGACCAGCACAGCATTGCCTCCAGTGTTCCCTCTCATAGTCAAAGTGAAATGACTGCGGACCGCAATAGAAACACGCTCTTTCCAGTTACTTGGCGTGCAGAATGCACAGAGAAAGTCTAAATAAGGCCATGTGCTGTTTAATCATGCAGGGTACATGAGCCTGAACGGGTCTGCCTGCTGCATTACACTCCCAGCATCCCTGCCAAGCGCGGCACGCACTGGGTTTTCGTACACGCACCGCAACTCTACTGTTTCTGTGCTAATAAGTTTTCACCCCCCCTCTCCGAAACCCTTTCTCCAGATGCCCCCAATCACACACCCCTCCCTTCCCTGAAAGGCACGCACTTGCTGCACAACTGCGACTGCAGAGAAACACCAGCAAGCAGCCGAACAGTGCAGTCTGGAGACGAAATACACACGTACACATCCACACTCACACGCAAAGAAACGCAATAAAGTATTTCTCTTTCTTTAGCATCTCCGCACATACACGTGCAGAAACAGAGCGAGAGAGACACACACACACAACAAACTCACCAGTTGGGTTCTTGGTTTTCTTGAGGCTACTGCCACAAAGACACTGCAGCATATGCGATCCTTTGCTGAAAATGTTGTTCCAAATAAACCGCATGGATTTGGCGGGGGTGGTGGAGGAGGAGGAGGAGGAGGAGGAGGAAGAGGAAGAGGAGGTGGGGAACGAGAAGCGCTCCGGATGCGGCAGCCTAAAATTCACCCACCGCATGGGGGCTGATCCGCCCCCCTGTTTGCATGCCAGCAGTGCCGGCCAGCTGTTGGGCTCAGTTCGGCGGTGCCTCGCCCTCCCGATCTGCACCATAGACAAGAACGAGAGCTGGAAGCCCGGCTCGGAGCCGGGTTTCTCGCCCGGTTCCTCAGCGAGCGCGAAGATCAGCAGCCGCACGTACTCCGCGTCGAACTCTTCCTCGTGCGGCAGGGAAAGAGCGACCGCCGCTGCGCTTACCCCCGCGGTGTGCGCCTTCGGATTCCCCAGCGGTGGGTGGTCCTCAGCGACGGAGGGGGGGTCGCTGCTGATGCTGCTGCCGCCCGGCCGCCGCGGCGTGCGAAGCCCCCGGGCGCTCCTCTTCAAATGGCGTCGTCTGCCGCGCGGCAAGGGGAGAGGAGCGGTTGACACGCATGCGGCGGCGCTAGCGGGAAGTCGGTGGTACGCGGCAGCTGTCGGCTTCTGCACAAAAAACCATTGCATATTAGTGGGGATCGCAGGGGTCGGTGCGTCCGTCCGCGCGGGAGGGGAGGAGGAGGGGAGGGGTGCGGGGAGTCCGTCAGCAAGTCGGTGGCATCCCTTTAACAGTACAGGCTACAGTAGACAAGTACTGCAGCAGGGGGCTTCTTCCCAAGCACACACACACACACACATACACACTCAGACACGCTGCACGCGAGTTGCAGAATCGACTTTCAGCAGCAGCGCTGGTTCCCAGGTCTCCGGTCCCCGGGTCTCTGGTCCTATCCGGTTCCCAGATATCTAGTCTGTAGGTCTCCGGTCAGTGAGAGCGCAACGAGCGTTAAACCGGGCAGGTGAATCACTGCAGGGAATCTCCGCACTATCACACTTCTCCTCTTTTAAAAGTCCTTGTGAATTATTGATCCGCGTCTCGGCCTCCACTTCTCAATAATCCATAAGATCCAATGCGCCAAGATACTGCTGTCTGTCTGTCTGTCTGTCTGTCTCCTCTTCCTCTCCTCTCTCCCCCTCCTCTTCCTCACCTTGCTAACGACAAGAAGCTGCCGGACTGTGACTCTACTACCGAAACTAAATGAGAAGCGGTGGAAGAAAAAAAAGAAGACCGGTACCGGTCTGGTGCTTCAGCGTCTTCTTCAGCAGCGCTCGAGACGACCGACGGGCCGGTGAGGCACGAGGAGGTGCAACGACTATCTATACCTGACCAACAACAAAGTGAGAGTGATTTTACAAAAAGACATTTCCGGTTGGCATCTTCAAAACACAACATGTATATTTGTTCAATGTATTCGTTTCAATAATTAGATGAAAATAACAGGTCCCTAAAACGCATTAATACGTTTATATTTACAAATAATTATTACAAAATGTGGCCGTTGTTATGATTTGTTTACACTTCAAACCGCCTATAAAGCTCGAGCTCTTTTTCTGTGAATAACGAGCAGTCTGGGTTGCCTTCGATTTTTGTTCTGAAGGAAACCGTTACTTCCGGTTTGCCTGTGCAGCTTGATGCAGCCTACACACCGAGAGGAGCTACTTTACGCAGACACGTGGTCCCCACACCGTCAGCATCTGGGCTTACTGGATGTGAATGACAAGTTTCTTTCTTTGGGAGGGTTGGTCGACGACATAGTGCCACTGCGAGACCCCCACCTACCGCAGTTTCTACTGGCGTTTTACGCGTGCTCCCCTCTTTGTCGAAGACGTCACTCCAAACTAATCTGTCCGCACGACTCCCGTTCAATGGTATCACACACCTGTTGCACGACTCCGTTCTGAACACTGGGTTGAAACGGAGCTGGAAAACAGCGCAGCGGTTCTTGACGAGCGAGCTGGCGCTGTCCTTGGTGCTGAAACATAATGCAGAAACCTCTCCAGTGGTCAGCTGTTGCGTGTGCACGCGAGCTCTCTGCCCCGTGGCCGATTGAACAACATCCACAACGAGGAGCAGGAAATAGATTTAATTCAGTTTGTGGATATACAATTAACATCGTGTGTCTTGGTTTTGGAGGGATAATTCTATTTCAGATCATGTTTAGATGGAAACATCCATCAATGTTTAGTCCCCTTTTTCCCAAGAGACTTTTAAAACACACAAACCGTTTTCTGTGGCTCATTTGCCTGTGACCAGTCTATTACTAAAGCTTAACTCCAAAACAGCAGTTGTAAGGGGACCGACTTTCATGTCTATAGTGCCTATAATGTTTGCAGTATGGTAAAAAAATGTATCTGAGCTCACAAAAAAGGTGTTTTTGGTGAAAATTTAATTTTTGAACAACCTATTATTTTTTTTTAATTTAAACAACTAGCTATATTGTCTTCAGCAAAAGATGAACATGATTATGAATGCTAATCCATTAAATGAATTAAAATATCATAAAATATAAAATCTATGTAACATGCAGTTGAATTACGGTAATCTGCTATTATTGTAAATTGACAGCTTTATGCACCATGGTGAGTTACAACAATGACAAACCCTGGTTCACAGCGGAACTCAGAACACTACGCCTGCAGAAGGACCAGGCATTTAGGAGTGGGGACAAAGACTTGTACACAGAGTCCTGACCCACCTGAAGTCCCTCACCGACCCCCTTCTGGACCCCCTGCAGTTCGCCTATAGAGCCAACAGGTCTGTGGACGATGCTGTCAACATGGCCCTCCACTACATCCACCAGCATCTGGACTCCCCAGGAACCTACGCCAGGATCCTGTTTGTGAACTTCAGCTCTGCTTTCAACACCATCATCCCGTCTCTGCTGCAGGACAAACTCTCCCAGCTGCACGTGCCCGACTCCACCTGCAAGTGGATCACAGACTTCCTGTCTGACAGGAAGCAGCACGTGAAGCTGGGGAAACATGTCTCAGCCTCTCGGACCATCAGCACCGGTTCCCCCCAAGGCTGCGTTCTTTCCCCTCTGCTCTTCTCCCTGTACACCAACAGCTGCACCTCCAGTCATCAGTCTGTCAAGCTCCTGAAGTTTGCGGACGACACCACCCTCATTGGACTGATCTCTGGTGGGGATGAGTCCGCCTACAGGTGGGAGTCTGACCATCTGGTGTACTGGTGCAGTCAGAACAACCTGGAGCTCAACGCTCTAAAGACAGTGGAGATGGTTGTGGACTTCAGGAGGAACAGAGCCCCACCCTCTCCATCACCCTGTGTGACTCCCCCGTCAATATTGTGGATTCCTTCCGTTTCCTGGGCTCCATCATCACCCAGGACCTCAAGTGGGAGCTGAATATCCGCTCCATCACCAAGAAGGCTCAGCAGAGGTTGTTCTTCCTGAGGCAGCTGAAAAAATTCAACCTGCCAAAGACGATGATGGTCCACTTTTACACGGCCATCATAAAGTCCATCCTCTGCTCCTCCATCACCGTCTGGCAGGCTGCAGCGTGTCATCCGCTCTGCAGAGAGGGTGATCGGCTGCAATCTGCCGTCCCTGCAGGACCTGTTCGCTTCCAGGTCTCTAAAGTGAGCTAAAAAGATTGTAGCCGACCCCTCTCACCTCCGGACAAAACCTGTTTGTGCCCCTGCATCTGGCAGGAGGCTGAGATCCATCATGACCAAGACCTCCCGCCACACCAACAGTTTTTTCCCGTCGGCAGTCGGGCTCATCAACAGAGCCCGGTCCCCCACTGACTGACCATAACATTCCACCGGTCACTCTCCTTCATACTGCACATGTCACTTTAACTATAATTTTTTGTTCGTCACTTTGTCGTCACTCGTCACCTTGTCACTTGTTCGATAGTGCACTTTATTTTTAATATTTTTTTACTTTATTCTCTTATTTTATACTAACCCATAGCCTTATTCTACTAACCCATTGCATTAGCATTTTATTTTTATTTTATTACTTGTGCACTGCTGTCTTGTTGTCTATTGTCTGTTTTGTGTCTACTGTCACGCACCAACCGCCAAGACAAAATCCTTGTATGTTTGACATATTTTGGCAGCAAAAGTGTCCTGATTCCTGACATATTGTAAGATACCGTTATAAATGCACCGTAAATTTACAGCAATTTGCTACAGTGTACGTATAACAGGTGAATACAGCTGTAGATGTTTTCAACCCAGATATTTGTATTTTTCAAAGTGTACAGTTGCAAGTGGATTCCCACTCCATCACAGACCAACAAAGAACTTCCGAGAACAGAGATCAGTCACGGTAAACGTGTGATAACGCTCACAAACCGCCGCGTCTTCTGCTCATGCAGTCTTCTGCTTTTTACGCCTGGCACATTTTCTTTTTAAAACACCTGTCAACAATTTAACGTTCTGAGGAGCATTTGTCACTTGTCATCAAACTAGGCTAAATATCATCTGTGTGCTGTGTGAGAGGATTCGGCTGCAAACAACCACAGCTGTGTGTGTCTGTGTTTGTCATATGGCTGGAGAAGGAGGAAGAAGAAGTCATGACAAGAGTGAGGGTGAAGCAACACAGAGAGAGAGAAGGTGAATGAGGAGGATGAAAAAGCAGGGGAGTGCGAAAAGGAGGAAGCAAAATACTAAGATCCGAGCTATGCATCACATGCAAATTAAGCGAGGTAGATATTAACTACAACACTGAAGAATATAATTTACGTCACCCAAAGCTTCTCAACTTATTATAAACCTGATCGCTGGACTATACAAATGAGAAAACTTCTTTAATTAAAAGGATATATTCATTATTTAACATAAATGTGAGTTGTTGCCTCTCTTTGTTTTTGGTGCACTTTCTGCCTATCGTGATTGATTATTGATCTATCTGAAGTGTATTGCATGGAGACAGATCTGAGACAGTATAGACATGTTTGGTAAAAGAAAAAATTGGTAAATTGAAGGTAGAATATAATCTGCAGGAAAAGTATGAGGACCGCAATAATTTGCCAAAGTGAAAATACTGTCACTTTTAGGAATTTGACTGCATCAAAAGAAAGATGGTTTGTGTAAAAGCTTGTCACAGATAAAACATAAAGAAACAAAAATCCTCGACAGAAACCCAAAATAGCAATAGACACCGGCTGGATGTGCAACAACACCAATCTAATGCGTTTTCAAATGATGTTATATAATTTTGTAATAAACAGATTTCACAGAAGAGTCCATTGGACAGCAGCTATTTCACATGTTTTTGCAGCATAAAAACAGGTGTAATTAATAACGTTAATTGTGGCCCTGCTCCTTTTTAGCCTTGTAAACATGGACTCACTGGAATCACAATTGAGAACGGAAGCATATTTAATTTGATCAATTGACCTTGCTATGACATGTGAAAATATCTGTTATAAAAATAACAATAATGACTACAAAAAATACATTTACACACATTTTAAATGATACAGTATTGCACTGGCTATAGCGAAATGCGGGCATTCCACTCTTTTTTCAAGACATGTGTACAATAATATGCGTCACCAACCATGACGTTTAATCAATATGTAATACAAATACAAATAAATAAAGTAAAAATAAGTTTACGCCGGCTTTTACGTTACAAATAAGTAAAGTAAAGGCCGGCGCATGCTTCTGCCAGAACAACAGGCGGAGTGACGTGTTTTGTTGAAGACGACCTAGAGAGTCACGTCTATTTATTTATTTGTTTATGTATTTATCATAGACTTTATTGCCCCGTGCATCGCCACTGCTGCTTTTCATCGCGGACACAGTTGTCCAGTATTTTCCTCCACAACTTTATTCACCTCTCGACCGGCAAACCGACGTTCGCGGAGATCTCGTGAATCCAACCCGCGTATACAAGCCGTCATTGGCGGGTCACGCAAGGGACACGCATTTCTTCCGACACAAGTTCTTAAATCTAATCCGTTCTCTCGTAAACATTCTTCGTTTTAATAATGGCGGTATCGGGCTGTGAAAGCGGAAATGTGAGACTCCGTAAAGGATGCAGTTAGCAGACCAATCGCAGCCTGGTGCGCTGCGGGAGGCTTGCGTTGCTTGCGTCAAGCCTAGAAAAATGTCTCGACACACGCAAGGACGCAGGGTGGTGGTGTGAAAAGCGACGCAAGGGACACGCAAGGGGGGCTTGCGTCAGCGTCGCTCTGAAAACGCAGAAGCATGAATCAGGCTTTAATCAGGCTTAACTTTAACCCTTCTTGGGTTTACTCACCTGGCTGAACGTCGTTTCTCGTCTACCTGGTCCATGTTCAACTTCCCTGCGTCTTCATTTAACTAAAGTGTTAAGTTAAATATATTAGCCCAACCAGTCCAGTCCCCTAAAACCTGTCACCTAACGTTAAGCCTTTTTTATCCGAATGAGGCGGTAGTGGCACTTAAGAGCACAAACACTTCACCTGCTGACATAGCTCAGCTAAAGGAAGTACGTTTCTAAACTAACGTAATGTTAAAGTTGCCGATATTAGTTATCTGAATCCGTCAAGCGCGAATATTGGCATTTTGTATTTTGGCTACGACCAGAATTCCCCTGTTTTCGACGCAACAACGTGGATGCGTTCGATTTGTGTACATCTACGTGATTGCCGGGCGGTGAATTAAATACGTTTTTCCCTCACCCGCACGCAATACTTCATTCTTTGTACACTTAATGTAGAGAACTTAAATCCAATATTTGTGTTTCTTTTTAATACACGTATTTGTATTTGATATCCAAAGATGAACAGTACTTCTTCTGGGTGGCAGATTTATCGAGTGTCGGAGATGTTCTGGGACCGAATCGAGCGTCTCACAAAATTCAACACAACCAGACTGATGAGCCCAAATTCATGCTGTGTGGCTCCATCTGCTGGTTCTCAAAGCTATTACATGGAAAGACTTATAGAATAACAAAATTATATATTTGAAAAGATCGCAAATGTCACATAATGCTTTTTTCCCGCCAATACGGATATGCATCAAACTCGATTTAACGTTAAAAAAACAATACGATTCACATGTTTCTGTCTAAGCTCCGGGGCAAATGCTGATTTTTATAGTCCAAAATACTGGACCTAATAATTAAATGAAAAATTGAAAAAGTTTTTAGAGACAGCAGTCCCACAAATGACCGGAGGGGGGCAGCAATCGGCACATATGCAGTCTACTCTGCCGAAAGTAGAAGAGACGAAGAAGAAGCTACAAACACAAACAACCGTTCAGTGCATCAGCTGGACCGTCCACAACACCGGGCACACGATTTCAGGTAAATTTATACCGAAATGCGTTGTAGACGTGTGTGTTTATTTTCTACTTACAGCGATACGGATTGTTGTAATTAAATATGTGTTTGTTTATCTTTTCTCAGTTGCCATGGAGCGATGCTTTAGGTAGGAAGAGCAAATGAAAAGCGCTTAACTATTAAGCCACTAGCTTTTTATTGTTTGCCGTTAGCTTCAGCGCACCTTCGCTTGCTGTTATTATCAACAACAAAAAGCTACTGCTAACGTTGTCAAAAAGGGAACCGCTAGCCGGGAAACCGAATATTTTGCTAAGCTACTATTGAGAGAACGCATTGCCCAACTCTACTCCACATATTTAAAAGTTCGGTAATCATTTAAACATAGCCAGCGATAAATCCAACTAAATTACAACTCCTGTCCATCACCGTCTGAACGTGGAGAAAACGGATGTTTTTTATCTGTTGAATGTGTCCTTTTTTAAGTGGCCGCCTAGTATGCGGTTATAAAGCTTTGCAATGTTGTGTGCTGCTTTGAATGCATGTTTTCTTGTAGAAAGTTAATTCCTCTGCTTCTGATTCATTCATATGGCTGCAGGTCCATATCTGTATTATCTGTCTTTACACAGCTCTGTCTCCTCATATCGTTTTTAACGTTGAATCCTGTCAGAAGATCCGTCATTTTTTTTTCTTCTGAATGCGATCATGACTACCTCCTGTCTTCTCCTTCCCCTTAGTGTCAGCAGGGATGATTCCGCTCCTTGCTCCCCACCTCCTCCTCCTCGCGTTCTCCCCTCTCCATTTCCTCCCTCCTCTCCCCTGTCAGCCCTGACTGCCTCCCCACAAGACGGAAGGCTGAGTTTCGCGGGAGCCATGGTGGACGTCAGTAAGTGGCCCCTCTTTTCTCTGCTGAGCACCGAGGAACTGGCCACAGTCCGGCAGGCCTGCGTGTTCGGAAACTCTGCCAATGAAGCCATCTACATCACACACGCCAATGAGGTGCGTGCGGTGGACTCTGTGTTCATCTCAGTCGGAAGCTTTTAGAAACCTGTTCTGTTCTTGGCACTGGTTTCTTGTTTCTTTCGATGAGGGTCATTCTTTTCCCCAGGTCTTTGTGTTTGGGTTGAACAGCAGTGGCTGCCTCGGCACGGGAGACAGTCTGAGCACCATTGTGCCGAAGAAACTGGACTTCCTGCGGGGGAAGAAGGTCGCCAGCCTCAGCTATGGAAGCGGGCCGCATGTCCTGTTGGCCACAGAGGGTCGGGGGCCTAATCATCCAAGCTATAAATGCCCGCAAATCACACACCACCTCTACTTGCTACCTGTCCGACCATGTGCTCAACATGTACCAACCAATGTTTGTTCGTTGCAGACGGACAGCTGTTTGCCTGGGGCCACAACAGCTACAGTCAGCTGGGGAATGGGACCACCAACCAGGGACTGTCGCCGCTGCCGGTCGCCATCAACCCACTGAACAAGAAAGTGAAGGAAGTGGCGTGCGGCTCGCATCACTCCGTGGCCCTCACTGTGGACGGAGAGGTGGCTGTTTCTTTCATCTTCTGTCACTGGTGTCGTCTTTCGAATGCCGTTTTAGGCCTAATATGGCGTAAATGACAACAAGAGCAAATCTACATGTACGAGTGTGTCTGTATTTCACGTTGAGATTCAGACGGGTCACGTGAAAACCTTGACGTAGCGACTGCGTCGGACTAAGCTGCTTATTTTTAGCGCCGAGGTATTAAGTTGGCCCTTAATTAGGCTGTGTGCACGCGTGTGCGGCAGGCAGCTGATACCCTGTTAAGTACACAGTAGTTCATTCGAGGGACTTGTGTCCTGACCTTTTTCCTCACTGTCCACCCCCACCCCCCCCACCCTCTCCAGGTCTTTGCGTGGGGTTATAACAACTGTGGCCAGATTGGCTCGGGCTCCACCGCCAACCAGCCCGGCCCCAGGAAGGTCACCGGCTGCCTGCAGGGCAAGACGGCGGTCGGCGTCACATGCGGACAGACCTCTTCCATGGCGCTGGTTGACAACGGAGAGGTGTGACTGCGGCGTGGAATCCAAACACCCCAACTCCCCCACGCGGAGGAAAAACCTGAACCGTGAAGTTGTTTGTGTATATTCCAGGTTTACGGCTGGGGCTATAACGGGAACGGGCAGCTGGGCATCGGGAACAACGGCAACCAGCTGACGCCTTGCCGCCTCGCGGCCCTCCAGGGGATGTGCATGCAACAGGTGAGGCCAAACGCCGACTGGGGAGGTTATCGGCATCAGGCGCTTTGTCTCTGTGCATGACTCGACTCCCCCCCCCGTTCTCCCCCAGGTGGTCTCGGGCTACAGCCACTGCCTGGCGCTAACTGACGAAGGGCTGCTGTACGCCTGGGGAGCCAACACCTACGGCCAACTGGGGACCGGCAACAAGAGCAACCACCTCAGCCCCGTGCTGATCATGGCGGAAAAAGAGAGGTGAGGCGGCGACGTCTTTTGTGTTTTGGAGATTCCTCCCGGCCCTGTTTTGGACTCCTGTTTCCTGTGCTCACCCCCCCACCCCACCCCCCGTCCTTTTTCCGTTCCCCGGCCTCAAGCAAAGAGCAAAGAGGAACTTGTATAACGACTTCCAGACATTCCTTGTAAATATGTTCCAATTGGTTCTCGTTTGTCAGGATTGTCGAGGTCGCAGCTTGCCATTCAACTCACACGTCAGCAGCCAAGACCCAAAGCGGTCAGGTATATATGCAATTAATCGTGTCTACAGTGGCCCCCGATGTATTTTGTGGATTTGGGTATTTTCTTGGCTTCAGAGTTTCTCTGATTTTGACCTGGCTTCTTATCGGTTACAGATAACAGATTTTATTTCTATTTTGCAGGATTGAGTTTTGTCAGGTTTTTTTCTTCAGTTTTATGTGGGCCTGTGTGTTCATTTTCGCGTCATGGTTAATCCCCCAGAGCGCACTGTTTTCCCTTTTTTATTTTTTCTTCATCAGCACACATTTTGATCACAACTTTTGTCTTTTGATTACCAAATTGAGTGGATCCTTTTTATAAAAATGTTGATGAATATAATTACCTTATGATACCTGCCTTATAAAGTGCTTTACAAGCCACTTAGACTTGTCTCATTAGGCCATGATCATGACTTTTATCCTGCAGGTGTACATGTGGGGTCAGTGTCGGGGTCAGTCCATCGTCATGCCACACCTCACTCACTTCACCACCACCGACGACGTCTTCGCCTGCTTCGCCACACCCTCCGTCATGTGGAGGCTCATGTCTATGGGTGAGAGAGAGAGAGGGAGAGAGATGATCCAAATCCTTTCTCCCATAACAATCACACGATGATATTTATTTCCGTCCGCTTCCCCCCAGAGCACGACGACTTCATGACCGTCGCGGAGGCTCTGAGGAAAGAGTTCGACAGCCCGGAGACGGCCGACCTCAAGTTCAGCGTCGACGGCAAATGCATTCACGTGCACAAGGCTGTGCTGAAGATCAGGTCCAAAAAAAAAAAAGCACTTCATTCTCCCCCCCAACCGTGTGTTCACTCCGGATAACGTGTGTCGTTGTTTCGAGTAGGTGTGAGCATTTCCGCTCCATGTTCCGCTCCCAGTGGACCGAGGACCAGCAGGACGTGATCGAGATCGGCCAGTTCTCTTACCCCGTCTACAGGTCCTTCCTGCGGTTCCTCTACACGGACACCGTCGACCTGCCGCCCGAGGACGCCATCGGTCAGCACGCGCTAACATTTGTAAAATACTGTGTTTTGTCATTGGTGGGGTTCAATATACACGTGTGTGTGTGTGCAGGCCTGTTGGACCTGGCCACCTCTTACTGTGAGAACCGTCTGAAACGCCTGTGTCAGCAGATCATCAAGCGAGGGATCAACGTGGAGAACGCCTTCACCTTGCTGTCTGCCGCCATACAATATGACGCCGAGGTACGACCTCACACACGCGCGGGCACGAATGTGTCCCGGTCAGCACTTTTATTTTGTCCCTTTCCTTTTTCCCAGGACCTGGAAGTGTTTTGTTTTCGGTTCTGCGTGAACCACCTCACTCAGGTGACTCAGACGGGAGCCTTCTGGCAGGTGGACGGAGCGATGCTGAAGGAGTTCATCAGCAAAGCCAGCCGCTGCGGGGCCTTCAAGAACTGAGCGGCGCCGTTTAATTACGTCGGGTCGGATCACATGCCGAGAAGCTTTCTTGAAATGTTGTTTTACGTGTTTAACCAAGAAGAAGAAGAAGAAGGAGGAGGAAGGGAAAAAAGCAGCACTCGCAATGTGGAATTTCACGCAGCATTACGGACGGATCCAAAGTCATCGGACGCTTCCCGTCCAGTCGATAACAACATCACGCTGCGTTGTTTTCACAACACGCTGTACCTGAACTTTTCATTTTTATTTTTTTTTTTCTCGAGGTTTCTTTTATATTTTTTATCGTCTTCCTTTTTACTGCTGGTGAGATCCAACATAGAACAGAGTCTGTGTCTGTTTGGGACCTGAAAGAAATGTTTAGGAAGAGCAGCTTTGATAAATACAGGCCAGGACCCCCGGACCACTGCACTAAAACACGTCTTTGTGTTACATCTGCTTTCCATTTCTTGGTAAGTTAACCCCACTTTAAAGCACAAGACACTGCAGGTTCTTAAGCAAGGTCAACTTATATTATAGTAAGTGAGATATATTGTTTGTATTTTGTCAGCTTGGGTTTATGATGACCAATAACTGCCTGCGGGTCCTTGTTACTTCTGTGGCATTGCTGGTTAATGCAACGCAAGGAGTGTTACTGGTCAGGTCAGCTGACTTCAGCTTCTGACTCAACAAGTTTGAGTTTCGTTTTTTAGGTTTCCATTTCTTGATTCATTCACATGCTGAAGACAAGCCATTGGGTCCGTCCTGCGCTACATCGTAGTGTCAAAAATTCTGTTGATTTATCAAAGACAAGTATCATTCAGGTAAGAAATGTTAGGTTTCCGCGCTTTAAAGGTATTCGGAGAAAATACAGTCTTTGTTTTAGATAAAACTTATTTTAATTGATCCAGTTACTGTATTACGTATACTTTTTAAAACTTTTCATTTACACGGTGATCAGCAAGAAATACTGAGAACTCTAGGAATTTTTTTCTGCGTTTACGTAACTGACATGTTTTTCTATACGTCTATTTACTTGAAACAACCACTCATAAATCACTTAACTCTGCATTGTTTCCATTTAATGGGTTTTATTGTTAGTTCATTCCTACTGTGCACACATTCCCTGGCATGATGCTCTACTTCAGATATGGTTATTAAAGTCTTCTAAAGAAAAAATGCTATTCAGCGTTTTATTTCGCTTTTTATTTTAAGGTGGCTCACTTCGTCAGAGCAGTTTGATGTCGTGGTAGCCTGCTGACACCTGGTGGACAAAGTCGGGTACGACGTGGGCCTCGTTTCCCCGCCCCCTTTTCTACGTCAGAGGCTATTGCGGAACTAATCCGGATCTTCGTCAAGCCAACGACTATTAGCCGCGACCAGGTCCAGCGTATCGCGCAAGTTACGTAACATCATGCTACAGGTCCTTGGGCGGCGATAGGAGCACATATAAGGTCAGTCCGTCCGTGGAGAATATGTAGGATAACCCAGCGCGTAGTTACTGTAAGTTTAGCAGCCGTACTCGGTGATGCTCTTGTCGCTAACTGATGACTGGACGTGGACTTGCTAGCGTTAGCTTATTTTGAAAGCAGCGGCCGGAAACAGCGTTCACCTGTTCACGTCCGACTCAGGACCAGGGCAACGTCAAAGCAGGTCGAACTCTTCTCTTCCTTCTGGCTGCTCCTCCCGTAGTGGATTCGGGATTCGGGGGTCGGGGGTCGGGAGGGCACCGGTCGTCATATCGCTGATTGGATGGAAGGAAGCGAGATGAAGAACCCAGCCGAACCGGGTCGGTCCGTACCGGGTCGTGACACCAGAGACGGCGGCACCCAGACTGACAGCAGGATACCAGGTGAGCCGGAGGGAGGAATAGTACATGGTAGGATTGTTTAGTGTCGTGTTGTGTCGTGTCATAAAACAGCTGACGCGTGAGGAGATGAGAGTCCACAGGCCATGATAAATAACAATAACACTCGTCAAGATTATCTCCTAAAAGCAAGGGATTGCTGGGTGGTATGTGTGCGACTCAGATGAAATGCGTCGCCACGGCAACGAGGACAACAGGATGATTGGCATAGACCCTGCGTTTGGTTTTCGTCCCTCCTCCAGGTCCTGATCCCAGGCTATCAAAGGAAAACCTGTTCACCTTGTTGAGTTTGTGGATGGAGCTCTTCCCGCAAGAGCAATCCGAAGAAGATGACCACAGCGAGGTTGGTGTGCAAACACAGAGATAATACGCCATACTGAAAAAAATGTGCAAAGTTGTGACAGTGGGTTACATGCATCATTTACCATCTGCCGTGTTCCCAGATCCGCGGGACGGGTCTGGTGGTGGTGCGGGACGGCAAGGTGGTGGGACTCCTCTGTTCTGGACCCGAGCTCCACGCGGGACAGGCCGCCATCCTCCAACATGGTGCCTGCTTGGCTGGCTGTCAGTTGTACTTCTCCCGGCGACCCTGCGCCTCCTGCCTCAAGATGATCATCAACGGTGAGGAGACGGTGCTGAACTCGCATACTTTTTTTTTGCCAGGCAGCTATTTCTAAATCTGTTACCAGGTTTGTCGGCCAAGTTCCCCTTAAGTTCAAGGTCTACGTACAGTGGAGCATGTGCTCCGGTTGCTGTCACACTGTTGTAAACTGTACAATCACACCGACCTGATGTACATCGGAAGTGAGCTGAACTTTGGATCGCTTGGCTCCGCCTCCCCCACAATGCACAATGCTGCTTTCTCTCCTCCAGCCGGAGTCAGTCAGATCTCCTTTTGGCCCGGAGACCCTGAGCTCAGCATGCTGAGGCCCGGCTCGGCGAACCACTCCAGCTCCCGCGGTGCGCCCGGCTGCATCTCGGAGGAGGCCGCGCTGGACGCCGTGGCAACGGAGAAGCTCAAGTCCAACAGCCGCCCCCACATTTGCGTGCTGCTGCAGCCGCTGGCGCAGGGCCTGGCGCAGTTTGTGGACGAGACTTCCCGGGGCAGCGATTTCATAGAGAGAATGTCCGACGACGAACCGGGGCTGAATACAGAGGAGCTCTTCAACGGGTACCAATCCTTAGCGTCTCAATGCCTCAAAGCTAAATGTTGCCGTGTTGCACCTAAGACTTTTCCTCCCGCTTCCCAGAGAGCGGACGAGACACCTGAAAGCCTTCTCCAGAAGACTGCTGATCAAGACGCCCGAGCAGCACCGGGACATTTTGACCCACATGGGCCTGGAGAACTTCTGCGTGGAGCCGTCCTTCTCCAACCTGAGGCACAACATGAGGGAGCTGGTGGAGGTCCTGGCGGCGGTGGCGGCCGGCGTGCCACAGCAAGACTACGGCTTCCACAGGTCAGAAAAACGCTCGCGGGGCCGTCCGCAAGCCTGCAGGGTCGTTGGGCTGGGAGGAGTAGGTTGACCGTGTCGCTCCTTGCGCAACCAGGGAGCAGCATTCCACCCCGGAGCAGTCACCGGCCGAGTCCTCCCCGCCCGCCCGCCTCGAGGTGCTGTCCCAGGAAGGGGCTCGCCATTGCATCATCCAAGCCAGGCTGCTGGCTTACAGAACAGGTCGGGTTGTGTTTTTTTTTTTCTGTTTGTCACGCAACTCGTGTCCGGTCACACTGAACGACAAGAGGTTAGAAACACAACGAACAATAAGCTGAGGATTTTCCTCTTGCACTTCAATATTCATCACTACATCCCAAAAAAGGACTAAGTCAAAAGTTTGAGTATCTCGACTGGGACTCTGGAGGCGGAGCCTGTAGGACATTATTCCAGCCTCAACATGCAAAACTGTAATTTTTTTATTCCAGGAGACCCAAAAGTGGGCGTGGGTGCCGTCATCTGGGCCAAAACACCATCGGTGAGCTCCGCTTTCTTTATTCGTTTAGTTTCTATTTTTAACAAAAGGTGCACAATCAAAGTCTTCACATTCAGCGTGCATTACACGAGACTAGTATTTATCTTCTCATCTGACATATGTCCCAAAATGGCAAATAAATCTTCTGTTTTAGGAGCTAAAACAAACATGAATAATGCTTTAAATTAATATGAAGATGAGTCTTTATTCCCACAAGCAGAGTTGATGGCATTAATGTTCCTCTTAATATATTTAAAGTGGAGCTGCTCTCTCGTCCCAGGCTGCCAGTAATGGAACGGGGCATCTGTGCCTGGTGGGTTGCGGGTACAACGCCTACCCAGCAGGCTCCCACTATGCAGAGTACCCCCAGATGGACACCAAGCAAGAGGACCGACAGAGACGCAAATACAGATACATCGTCCACGCCGAGCAGAACGCCCTCACCTTCAGGTCAGAAACCCTGCCTGGCTCCGCCCCCCCCCCCCCTCCCGGCTCCACCCCCACTCCCCGTCTGATCATTGACCCGGTTGTCCCCCACCCCCCTTGACGCTTTCAGGACTCGCCCCATCAAACCCGAAGAGCCCGCCGTGCTGTTTGTGACCAAGTGTCCGTGCGACGAGTGCGTCCCTCTGATCAGAGGAGCCGGCATCGCGCACATCTACACCAGCGACCAGGACCGGGACAAGGACAAGGGGGACATCTCCTACCTGCGGTTCGGCGGCCTGAGGAGCATCGGCAAGTTTGTGGTGAGTGAGGCCCCCCGGCGTCCCGGCGCGGTAGCCGAGGGAAGCGGACGGAAGGTGATGCTTTTTCCCCTGTTGTTCACAGTGGCGGAAGAGTCCTGCGGTTGTCCCGGCGTCGCCCCCCCCCCACGCCAGTGAGTTTCACCTCGTCGCCCTCGGGCATCGCCCCAACGCGCCTCGACCGCTGCGAGCTTTTGCGACCTGCAGTGTCCTTTTTCCTCTTCTTCTTCTTTGCGTTTCAGATGGCTGCACGGGCAAGCACAGCAGGCCGGCCGAGCGGGAGAGCCGCAGCAACAAAAAGCGGCGTGCCGACAGTTCCAACGACTCGCCGACGGTCAGCTGAGCGCAGACGGAAGCCAACGGGACACCTTTTAAAAAAAAAATTAAAAAGTGCGCTCAGATTTTATATTTCACGGTTGCAGATGGAACTGGGGGGAATAAACGCTGCGTCCCGTTGATGAATCTGCTGCTGCGCGTTCGTTGCCGTGCCGACCCCGAGGACGGCCAGACTGCAGTAAAGAGGGACAAGCCAAACAATATATTTAAAATAGTAATATGACCTGTGATATGTGGATTTGTCCATCATTTTATTTTTTTAATGGCTAAATAAATGTATTTATGAATCTTTAGCTATTCCAAAAGGCCACTGCTGTGAGACTTATTATATTACTGATATTCATAGAATATCGAATCAAGGAACTTATAAAAGAAGTATAAAGCGGTACTCTGGTGGCATTACTTGTATTCATCAATCCAGTGTTGAGGAATAAAGATTATGAGCTCCAGTGTAAATTAAAGCATATTTTAAGGATACAATGTGTTGAGAAAATACCACAAGCGCGCACACAAAGCAAGGTTTCCCATCCTTTTATTTGTTGTCAAAGTGGTACAATCGCATCAATGTGTAGAACGAGAAAGAGTCGGATGTCCTGTGCGGATTCACCGGATGTGTCTCAACTTGCAGCATCAATTAAATCGCTGCTTTTTTATTTTCACGGGCTGTTTTTACTTTACGCCGGGTTAACAAGGAAACATTTACAGGTTTAAAATTGTTACGTTCACCCAGATGCGCTCCACTTCTTTCTGTTTAAATATTTTTTTTGTTTAGTTTAGACATAAAACTTCAATGTATCAAGTGGGAAATAAACTCCACGTTTTCTTTTGTGACATACGTGCAAGTGTCGCCATTATAAAATGGAATTAGGAATTTTAGTTTGAGTCAAATATAAAAAGTTGCGTTTCAGTGTCGTTGATTTTGTACATTTTATGTGTCATTTTAAAATCAATCAATCAATCAACTTTGGCCTCTGTGAGGAGTCTGCAGGGTTCACGTCAGCACTGCTTAGCTACGACCTGCGACCTTTGATCCGCACGGCAACCAAGGCCGCGAAATGTTTCAATCACGAGGTTCACTGCTCAATCACAACAAATATGTTCCTCAGAGCATATTCTCAATGACGCTAGAATTGAGCTCCCCCTGGAAAGAGACTGAATACACAAAAAGAGGAAAGAGATAAAAAAAAATTAAAAAAACACACTCACCAAACCCAAAAGGCACCTTTCACTCTTCTCCCCCGTTTCTAACACATCAGATCCAAACCAGAGAAGAGCACTTTGTCACAGGAGTGAAAGGATGCTCTCCCCTCTCACCAAGGAACCAAACACTGTACATGATGAAGAAATCAGTCTATAAAATAAAAATCGCCCTCAAGCAGAGTGAAAAAAATGTGATAGTTAACAAAAAGTATTTTAATATAATACAGAAAGTGCTAAAAGCCACCAGCAAAGAGAACCAGTGATCGATGTACCGAGGAGGCGCTTCATTTTAAAGACTTAAAATATCCCAAAAGCTGCGACCCTTTGTAGCCCAATTTCTTTTCGGAGGAAGCAGACTTGAGCAGTCGAGCCGATGAGAAGGTTGTTACCATTTTAATTTGCAGCTACTTCATTTAAATAGTTAAATGATCAACATTTTAGCTGCAACTATTCTCGTCTGAACAGAAAAAGGACAAAAAAATGTGCAAAGAGAAACATCTGTGACTGAGAACTACTGTTGCACAAGTTTTAAAGGAACCAACAAAGTGAGATGAAGACGCGTGACGTCTTTAGTGTTTTGTTTTCTTACGGTCAACTTCCAATCAAATAAAAAGCGGGGTTGGCGGGCGGGAAGCGACGCTCCTCTAGGACGCTGGTTTCTTCAGATCCCGGATCTGTTTGATCAGGTAGGTCTTCTCGTCGTTGAACTGCTCGTCGTCCGTGCGGTCCTTCTGGAAGTTGCTCAGGAAGTCGATTAGCTTGGTCTGGTTCTTGAGCAGGATGTCGATGATGGGCTGCGTCTTGTTGGGGTTGGCGACAAAAACCTGAGGATGGTAGTGGGAGGAAATGGGGGGGGGGGGGAAATCACACATTTTTACAAACAAGAAGATTTCCACAGAACAATCTTTGTCTGCCTTTGCTGCGTTTTTAACCTTGAAGACATGGAAGGCCTCAAACTGAATGTTGGGGCTTTTGTCTCGCAGCAGATTCATCATCAGCTTGAGGTTGTCGGGCTTGCTGATGTAGCGCGTCATCACGGTGAAGTTGTGTCTGTCCAACAGCAGCTCGCCCAGGAGCTGCAGAAGAGAGAGAGAGAGAGATGCAGCGACAGAATAGAACTTCTCCGATGGGATACGTGGTGTCCAATGCGAGTCAAACCTTCAGAGACTGCCTCTTGGTGACGTAGTTCTCAGAGTGCAGCAGCTTCTCGTAATCCCCAAACACCTGTGGTGACGGTTAGACACACCTCTCATTATAGATACAAACACACTGAGGGATTTATATTAATATTATTATCGACAGCTTGAATAGGGGACTTTGTCCATTTGCATTAAAAAAAACGTCTCCATCACATCCATTCCGTACTCTCCATTTAAATAATGACTCACGGCATCGTAGTGCTGCTCGAGGTAATCGGCCACGAGCACCTTGTGTCTCGTCAGGAGATCCTGCAAAAAAGACGCAAGTTACAAAACCGATCGAATTAAAGAGCGCGAGGTTGCAAAAGAAGAGCACGACCCGAGGTACCTTGAAGGTGGCGAAGGCGTCGGAGGCGATGTCAAAGGTGGACATCTCCACGTAGTGGAAGAAGCTGTTGAAGTGATCCGACTGCAGGACGACCTTGGCGAGCGGCTCGTGGCGGATGCACTCCCTCAGCATGATGCCACAGTTCAAAGCCACCTGGGGAGTCTCGTACCTTCCGGCGCACGGGAGAGCATTTGTGTCACCGCTTGGCAAGCCTTCCCACTCTGTGGAGGACGTGCGTGTGTGTGTGTGTGTGTCTCACCCTTTCAGCAGTATAAAGAGGACCTCTTGGTGGGAGCAGAAGTATTCCACGGTGGGGCTCCGCGTCCCGATCTGCCTCCTCAGAATGTTGTTGAAGATCTGACACACGTCCTTCTTCCCCTGGGGAGGCACAAAGTAGACGCGTGACCACCACCACCACGCCGCCGCCGCTGCTGCTGCTGCTGCTGCTGCTGCTGCGTCTCCCCCGCCCCTCCTCACCTCAAAGTCGATGACCTGCAGGTTCTCCACCAGCGACAGCAGCAGGCCGCTGTTGTAGAGCTCCTGGGCCAGCTGGGCCACCGTCTCGGTGTGAGGCTCCTTGTCGTTGCTGCCGTACAGAATCTCCTTCATGGACACCAGACACTTCGACACCTCCTCAGACGCCTGGAGACATTAAAGATGACGAGTCAGAGGAGGAGAGGGAGCGGTCTCGACAGCGAGGTGTCAGCGGATGACAGGCCCTTCTCTACCTTGTCCGTCTTCTTGTCCTGTTTGACCAGAATGGCGAGGTTGTCCTTCAGCGTCCTGACGATGTCCGCCGGACTCTTGTGGGATTTACCGAACAGCGGCATGGTGGACGGACACACTCGCCTCAGGGACCTGGATCACACACACACACACACACACACACACACACAGCAAACATAAAGGGAGCGTTCAATGACACGTTGGATGCAACCACCACAGTCTGGAAACGGATCAAGGACTCGTGAAGTGAAGGCGGGAGAGAGTTTGGGTCCATGTGACCGAGTGTGAGCTTTTGAAGGCGGCAGCAGCGACCGGCTCAGGAGGCGGCAGAGAGCTCGTGACTGCTAATCCCCCCCCCCCCTCTCTCCCCTCTTAAATCCAACTTATTCCTCTCCATCCACCTCTGCTGCCACTCCTCCTCCCCTTCAGAAAGCCTCAAAAACACCTGTCGGTGCCTTTAACGATATGCATTCAACAAGTTATTATCGCTTGCCGTCGTGCCTCCGACGGCTACTGTCAATATTTGCCGAAGGATAAGCGAGCAGCGAGGGAGTGCAGCCATCAAAAGAGGCAAACTCCCCCGCTTTCTGATCCAGCCACGTAGTGCATGAGGTGGAATATCTCCACCCTGTCCTCTGGCCTCGTGGCTGCAGTTGTATGTGAGAGGCTCCCGACAGTGAAAAAAAGGCGCTGTGTAATCATCTAATAACGCGTCTTTGAGACTGTGCAGCCTCAGACTGACTAAACGTTATGTAAGGGAATTTGTTTGGTCACAGAGCGAGCTGCTCGGTTGAGGTACAATCGAATCTTTTCAGCTGGAATTATGAAAGACTATTAGAAATACAGACTGGAGCAATAAGGTGACAATATCAACGTGACATGAATGAATCATTGCAGTCTTTAGATTCAAGCAGCAATAATCACCAGCGGAAGATTCGTATTCATGTTTTGTTGATGTGTTATAATAATCATTTACTCGCTCTTAAGTGACTTCATGAGGCTTCAAACTGATACCGACCGATATCTCTATGAGAATAATACCTATTTTGCTGTATATTGCCGAACATAATAATCAATTCATTGTTTTATGCAAAGTCCATCATACACTCAGCCCGAGAATAAGAACATCAAAAGATCCCTACAAATGGTCTGCGGGGTCGTCGCACTGGGAGCTGGTGGTTTTGATGACTAATCAGATTCATTCCAGTCGAGCAGGAAACTTCTCCTTCACACCGACATGTCAGTCTGTTCTTCACAACAACAATCGGGGCAGATCCCGGCCTGCGCTGGAAACAGGTTTCAAGAATTCCTCGCACGTCCATGAACGCTTTTTGCAGCTTTCGTTTGTGTCGCTGTGCTCCTTTGAAAAGTCACTCGCCTTAAGATGAAACCGAATAAAAGTCAAAACTGTTCAGCTTTTTTTTGTTTTGTTTTTTGATTTTGCAAACATCCAGGTTCGTTCCAAATTCTAGTTTGAACAGGTAGCTTGGCCACAGCGCCGGGTCCCGAAGGAGAGAGGAAACAAGGCTCTAAGCGTCAAGTACATCAAGGTGTCATCTCCGGCAAGCAGGTTGTCCTCTCCGAGGGGAACCAGGGGAGGAACACTCCCTGAAAAAAGACAAACGCCAGCTCGGGTCCATTCCTGAGAATGGTGCGGAAGGGAAAACAAAATCATCCCTATTTCTCAAACTTCAACGCAGCAGAACGTTTACAGACACACTGAAGATTCGGTTACAGCCCTTTGCTATTGGTTGTGTCAGAGCTGCGATCACCTGCTGCACGTCCACCTGCTTAGATAAACAGTGTCGTGGCTGAGTGAAGAACAACCTTGTGTAACCCAAACTTAACAGATGCAGGCAAAAAAAAGGTTTCCCATTGTAACTCCAACTAATATCTTATTAGTTATTAAATGCAGTTTTGCAATCCAAAAAGTGTCAACAAGGGTTCATATATTATTTCAGGTACCTATGTAGTTGTGCTTTATAAATCGAAGCATAGCAGATTTATCAATACTAATTATCAACTCTCAGTTAACTTGACAGCTTAATTGAGCATTAAATCACGTTTGACAGGTCTTATTGTGAAAAGCTTTACCGGAAGCTGCAATGTTTTTCTTCTCGCCAGCGTGACGCTGCTCGTCTAAAGTAACACAGCGAGGAGGAAAGAAACAAAAGACAAATACACGCACTGCGTTTGTGCTGCTGAAGAATTAAAACATCCCGCGAACGACAGCGTTTAAGGCACAAGTACAAACGAGAGGGCGGCTGACGCGGCGTGAGGCCGCACGAACAGTCCCAGACAACGTGATTTAACGAGGCGACACCCCTCTCGCCTCCGGCTGAACTGCCGTTTTGTTTGACAGGATTCCCGCAGATAATCACAACTGCCTGCGTCGTGTCAGAAAACAGCCGCTTCGGCGGCCACCGGAGAGGCGTCACTTGATAACGTTACACACATGTTAAGCCCGAACGAAGTTGCAAAAGACGTGTCAAGGGCGATAACATCGCCCCGTGGAGGTGGCTGGAGAGCGGCCGCTCTTCGGCAGGGGGAGCTACAGACGGTACCTGCGGCCGGGAGGAGGCTTGGTTGGGGGTATCCTTCAATGTCTGGACCGCTTCTGTCCCGGTTCACAGCGCAGCTGAGCTTCAGCGGTCAGGCCAGGGCTGTTTGTCAGCAGGAAAGTCCGCTAAAGATGTGAGCGATAGAATTCAAAATGTGCGGAATCTGTTAAGAAGCCAGTGCGAAATTCCATCTGGTCGCTTTCCAGTCAACTGTCAATCACACACTAACGAAGCTAACGACTTCCGGCGTGAGCCTTCGCAATAAACGCTGCAAGGACGGCCGGCGGTTTAAACTGACGGACGAACAGGGGACGGCGAGGGTTCAATGACAACGGGTCCTGTTAACAGTTGAAATTCCACCTGTATTTATGAATTCGACCTACAGGTGTTTTGATTCTTACGACATTTCACTGTCGCGCACACAAATTTGCTTTGTAGAGGAAATTACGTCACTTCCGATAAGAGTCAGATTCCCACAAGCTAACTTTATATTTCTGTATCTTTCCAGCCACGGCGGAGTCTCGTTCGCATCCTCTCACATCAAGTCCTTCTACCCAGATTGCTCCAAATATTACCATAAAATGTGGTATTCAAACAGTTAGAAAAAAGGGATTTATGGTAATTGAGACGATTTACTTCTTTTGAATTACCGAGATGGATAACTTAAGGAGAAAAGAGACTGGAGGTTGGATCCTATACATATTGGAATGCACCCCAGGACAACTCATAAGTGAACTGGGGGGAAAGAACCCATTGGAGGTCATATATCACGTGGTTAACATTACACGTCTGGACCAAAATACACACATTCATGTCTTATGAATTTTAAACTGAGAAAATGTTTGAAATACTATTAAACTGATGCCATTTTATAGTATTTCAAAACGCATACATGCCTCACACTGGTCTAATTCTGGAGATTTCCAATTACAAATGGCATTGTTAATATTAATAAAATAAAATAGATTAAATTCCATTTAAAAAAGGCAAAATCCCTTAAAGGAAACAATTCCAGACTTTATTAAAGTTGCTTTACATTTTACATACAATTCAGAATTACATATTTACAAATATACACAGATAGGTCTCATTATAATATATTTATATCAACACCATACTCCGTAGATACAATAGGAAAATAAAAGACAGTGGTTGCTGCAATGTGCTGCATAAAAAGAAAATATATAACCCTTCTCATCTCTCCAGCCTCAAACTCAAAAAGTAAAAACCATTCAGTAAGCTTTATTCATTCCATCATGACAGAACACTGACAAAGTTTGGTGCTCGGATCAGCTCCCAGGAGGGAAGAAAGTAAACTCTCGCAACATACAACGTTGCCTGGTAAAAAAATACTTTCCTTTTTCTGGGCTTTGACAAGAGAGGTTCACGAGGAACATGCCACAAAGAGATGCTACAGAGACACAAGAAGACTCACGTAAACCACGCTCCTCCTCACAATGTACAGGCTCTCAAGGGAAACAATGTGAGGTATAGGGGACACACCTGTACAAGTGTAACATACATTTTCTCAGTCTCGCTCGGATCGACACATAATGCCGCTCACAGTTTAGCTCGCAGTTGGACCCCGAGAGGCCCGTAAGCGTCCTTTTTTTTTCTCCTGGAAAATAATCTTTCTTTTCATAGGGAGGACATGTGTGGCTTTAGGTGAGAAATGTGGGGGTTAGGGTTCGTCAAAGACCTCGAAAAAACCATCATGAGCTATAATCATAGTCACAGCCGCGTGTAACAAAATCACACCTGTGATCCACACTGGAGGACTAATACAACCCGAGAGGCGGTGGTGGTTTGAATGCCACACCATGCTGCACTGTTCTCTCCGTTTGGTCGAGTCTTACACCTAAAATAAAAGATGGGGGAAGTTTACTCCCCCACCCCTGTCAGACTTTTCATGAAGTGATCCGACTGCATGGATGATGATCTTCTACATCACAGAGTGAGCAAGGTAACACTGCTGCGGGGCGGCTGGTGCAAACATGCTTGTGAAAGTCCCGGGCCGCCGGTTTAGCGGCGCCTGTGGGGAAGTGGCGCCCGTCCCACACCCGAGCGGGGGCCGGGGGCGGAGGGAGGGGACAAAGCCGGCTTCTGATCGCAGCAAACAAAACACAGGTGAGCGTGGCACTAAACAAACCAAAAAAAAAAAAAGCTGCAACGTTTCTGTGAAGGCGTGTGAGGCTCGGAGGTCAGTTAACTTGTTAGACATTATTCAAGCGGCTAAATGCATTAGGGTGACCCTGTAGCCTTCAGCGGAGACGTACAATAGTTGGATTTGTTCTGAAGCGACACCCACAGGCGCAACAACTCACGCACACACAAAAGTCGACGCGAGCAGACCACGCCCGCCAACGCAACGTCTCGGGCTTCCTGAGAGGGGAAATCCAGAGCACTTTAGAGAGCAAATCGCTCTTGAAAAAAAAAAACTAAAAACAAATAAGAGGTCCAGAGGTTGTTGCAAAGCTGCCCGCTCGCCGTGTGAGTGATTTTACATCTGACTACCAGGTGGCGCCGTGGGTGACCTTCACCTGAAGACTACAAATCCAGCCGGGAGGCCCCGTTCAACTACGTGGCCCGCCGCCGCGCTGAAGGTTCCAGATGTTCACAGATGCCCCCAAAGCATTCCCCCCCCCCCGGTCTTTGCAGAAGGCTGCCACATTTCACAGTGTACAATTAATGTCTGACACCAAGAGCCTCGTGTGAAATACCAGCCAGATCGCATCTCTATCTGTGGACCGCCGCACAAGACTTGTGCCGTGACGTCGTCAACTTTAGGGGTTCAGGGTTAAGTGATGACTTTCTTCGAATCTGTCCACTTTAATGCTACATTACAAGAAGGTTGAAACATTCTCGACATTTAAAAATAATCTAAAGCGAGAGGTTAATCCTGCCCGCCAGAAAGGAGATAAAAGAATCAGATAAAACTGCCAGCATCCTCAGATTCTGTGATATTTCAGGTTGCTTTTTGTTGAACTCTGACATGAACGCTCTGTGTGATTAAAGCGCGTCGATCAATCCTCCCGTCAGCTTTGGGGTTTCCTGCGATATTCCACATGGAAGATGTTTCACGGGTCAGGGTTTGATGTCGGAGAAGCTGGTGTACGTCTCGCTGCAGCTGGAAGAAGTGCTGAGGTTCCCAGAGACGCTGCCGTCTGCGGGACAAACAACAGCGGTGTTGGAAGAGCACACGGAGGCTTTGAGAAAAAGAAAAGGGCTTAGGAATCGCGCGCCTCCGGACCAAACAACGAAGCACGTGGGCAGAATACCTGAGCTGCTGAGCGACTGGGACGACTTGGACTCGGAGATGAGGCTGAGGAGGTTCGCTGCCGCCACCCAGCCCTCCTGACTGCTGCGGAGGTTCCTCACGAACCTGCAGAGGGTTGAACGCATCGTTGTTACCAGAGGTGTAAACATCTGTTCGTGTTGCAGATTGCTGCGTATTGCACAGAATCATTGAATCATTACCACTGTCCTTCCTCTCCTTCTCGGATTAGCTGCACCAGGTCTCCACTCTTGACGGACAGCTCCTGAGGTCCCGCCTTCTCGCAGTCCGCTACCACCGTATATTTCCCCGGAGCCTTAGGGTTCAAAGGTCAACAAAAGGCAAATCGGTTAGTGGTGGCAAATATAAATGTGGTAAAAAAATAAAAAGACGTCTTCAGATTCAGGCTCACCAGCTTCCTTCCCACTTCGTCCTCGGGGTCAGAGTTCATGGGGTCCTCGCTGCTGGAGTACCCATCATTCTCCTCTGTGGCGTCCACCGAGAGAGACGCCTTGTTCCAGCCTGCGTGTGAGGAGATAAGTGGAATACTGAGGCACGGGAAACACGAGTGACTGTGCAGCGTGGATAGTTGTGATTGGAATGTAAGTGAGTGTGATGTTTTCTGGAAATAAGGGTCCCAGTTACACGTACATCTATTCCAGAACATCAGATCAAAATGTTGTTCTGACGAATCAACACACACACAAGTTCAAATCAAACTCCTCCAAATTCCAGAGAACATCGATGGAGAAAGGTCCCAGTAAATTTCAAACCAGAGCTAAATCAAGAAGAGCTGCTGAGATTTGAATCAAGCGGACTGATTCAAAGCTGCCGTGGAAAATAAGTTTTCTCATTCTCATTATTGTTCACGCAGCACAACCTCCAACCGTAAAACAGCCAACAGCAGAAGAGGAGGAGAGAGATCCATTGGAGGTAGAGTAGGTAGCTTGCAGAAAACGGGGCCTTTTAGCCTTGAAGTGAGACTTAAAATGTAACATTTTAAAGTGATAGAAGGAGCTTCCACCATCTCAGGCCCAATGAGAGACATGACTCAGTACAGGCTAGAAGAAAGGAAAGTGGATACGCTGCCAACCACAAACCACAGCAAACCCCCACAGTGGCTGATCCCCATGGCGGCTCTGTACCTGCCCGCTTGTTCTGTAACAGACTAGAGGCGCTCATCCAGCGGACTCTGCTCAGAGTGACGTGGGGAGCCGGCTCTACAGACGGGAGGGGAGGGGGGGGGGGGGGGCAGCCAGCGAGTCGGTGAGACAGCCTGTCCCGCAGTCAGACAGCTGGGTCAATGAAACGGACGAGGAGAAAGACCTGCAGCGGTGAACTCGATCCTCATCGCTGCCAGCAGACGTACGCAATCTGCCAATCAATTTACCTTCCCCTGTTTCTAGTCCGCGCGCTGCGCCGAGCTAACGAGCAAAGAATCTAATTCAGTGATCATTACTTTGACCTGAGAAAAAAAGAAATGTCATGCTAACTGTGGTGCGAGTCAAAAACAGACTTCAAGGTCCTGCATATTCCCCTCTCTCAACACATGTACCCTGCTGTGATGGTAAATGCAGGCCGACGTTATGAAAAGCAGCTCATACTGCCGGATTAGTGTTTGGTGTCACGCCGTATCCCGTTTCACGCTCTAGTGTCTAGTGATGGGAGGATGAATGACGGGCTCCAGTGTTAGATGGGCCCAGTATGTATATCGGACGACGATGTACCTTTGAACCCAAACGGCGTGGGGTCACTCTTGACCGAGTGGCGTTTGGAGCCGTGCTCGGGGCTCAGAGGAGAGCCTGGCCAAGCCGGCAGAAACCAGCCAAGAGAGGGAACAGGTGGAAGAGGAAGAAGAGAACGAAGCAAGAACACAACACTCATTAACTGTCTCAAGCTGGTACATGTTGTGAATAGTGTGACCTCCAGTCTTTGGTGAAAGACACACAATTGACACAGCCTTCTGTAGGTCTGGTGTTTCTTACAGCAGTAGCAATGTCAGTCTACCACCAGGAGGCAGAGTGACTGCAACATATCAGCGGTATTATGAGGCGATAGTTCACATTCACATAGTAACACAGCACATGTACGTACGCGTTTTTATCATAAAACTGATGATAACTATACTGGCGGAAAGGAAAACACTGTCAGTAACACTGTTACTTAAATTATGAGTAAGACTTTTCACTTGTTAAAAGACAGAATTCCATAGCTGAAATCCTCTCTGGGTCTGCCAACGTTACCTTTCGGACTCTTCAGATTGCTGAAGCCCTGCAAAGTAAAACGCTTTTTAGCCACTGAAGACCTGTCAGTGGTCGGACTGGTCACTGGTTCATCTGGAAATAATGGTTTGAAATGGAGGAAGAGAAAAAAAAGGGTTGCAAGTGGGGAAATAAATATAGCCCCCCCCCCCCAAAAAAGTATAGTAACCGAGAGTCAGAGACAGAAGGATCCATGAAGATGAGGGTGATAAAGAAAAAGAAGATCAGTGAGTTCACTTTTAAGCGCTTAGGAGCATCTCCGCTGATTCGTTTCATCTCTAACTGTGAGCATCACACATTCACCTTTGTGTTTCGGTGAAGACGGGGAGTCAGACGCTGAGCTCGTCTCCGCCTTCTTCTCCTCTTGCTTCTTTGGATTTTTCGGACCACCGCTACGAAACGGACTGCGGACGAGAAGGAACAAACGTGAAAACTAGTTTTAAAAAGGCCTCTGATCCGTGGCTGCTCCTTCTGCGGCGCTATATTCAAACAAGACTTCAACCCCACCTGAGGGAGATGGAGGCGCTGTTGCTGGTGGGACTCGGGAAAACTGAGTCAGGGGTCTTCTGCTGACTGGCATCTGAAACATGAAGGGCTGTTGAAAGTGGGTACGTTGAGGCAAAAAGAAAAAACCGGGACAAAGAAACCCAAAAGGGTTTGCGCAGGTTACGATACCTCTGAAGGCTTTGAGCTGCTGGGTCAGAACTTTGCGGATCTCGTTCACCCACGATGTTTTGATCTCCGCCGTCGGAGCCTGGATTGAGAAAAAGCAACGTTCAAGCGGCATTAACAGCGTGTGCGGTTTTCATCTCAGCGTATCGGAGCGCCGAGGCCGACCGAGCTCACCTGGACTATGAAGACTTCGTCTCTGGAGTTGCACCAAACCTCAAACTTCTTGTTGTCCCCCTTGGCGCTCTCTGTGATGCCCACCGCGGTCATCTGAGAGAAGAATGAAGCCACAAAGTCAGCCCTTTCATATTGAGTCCAAAGAAGAAGAAGAAAAACCTGACCGCCGTGACCTTACACTGAGGGAGTGCTTGAAGCTGTACGACGGAGCCTTCTCGTAGCCCTCGCCGTTCTCCTCCCTCCTCTTGCAGAAGAGCAGCGCCTTTTGGTGCAGGAACAGGTGCCTCTGCATAGGCTTGAACCGGGCCAGGTCTTTGACCTTGGCGTGACCTTTTTTGTGCTCCGTCCACACGCTGAAGGAGCCCTGCATCAGCAGGCGGCCCAGATCCGACAGGTTACCCTGAAAGGGGGAAGGGGGGAGAAGACGGACAGAGTTTTATTCTGTGAGTCGTTGCATCGAGCGGCCGCTCGTGATCATCGAAACGCGGACCGCAGACCTCGTATCCTGTTATGGCGATGAGATGCATGGAGTCATTGACGGCCTTCAAGATCCCCAGGATGGAGGAGAGCGCTTCCTGTAGGTCATCGCATCCGTCGCATCCCTTGCTGTACTTCAACAGCTCCTGCGAACAGAAAGTGGGAATACAGCGAGACCGAAATAAACCCGCATGGGTACAGGGTGAAAAACAGCACGGCTCACCTTCAGCAGGAGCTGGTACTTGGTTATTCTCTGGACGGGTTTCAGGAGGTAGGAGTCCAAGCCAAGTTTATGTTCCAGCTTCTTCTGGCACTCCTGGTTCACAAAAACATCCACCCACGAGGATGCTTAGGAGTTCATCGTTCTTAGAGGCCACGTGGGAAGGAAGGGAGTCGGGGGCGGAGGGTTACCTGGAAGAAGGCACAGTCGGAGCACTGTCTCCACAAGCTCTCAGAGCGGGGTTTATTCTGGCAGTACGCCTCGTAGATCTGCAGGTCCTTCATCTACAGAGAGACGTTGAATTAGGTACGTCATTGACTTGACTTTTTCTTTTCTTTAATTGGCTCGTTTTACGTCTGCTTACCCTTTCTAAAAAGCAGCGGCCAACTAGCTCTGGGCAGTCGGTGTACGCTTCTAGCTCTTTTAGAAACGTCCTGGAGACAAACATCATGGAGGTTTACATCTGTATTGTAATCGAGAAGCTGGAGCGAGCAGCTTAGCTTAGCATAAATGCGCGGCGGAGAGTACCTCTTATGAAACTGGTAGATTTCAGACATGTTGCCAAACAGGACGACCTTCTTGCTCAGCAGGGTGCTGGGGATGAGGTGAGCCATGGCTGGGTTGTCCATCTCAGCCGCATATCCCTGGAGAGGAATATTGAAATGAGTCACACGGCACCGACTTACACGCCAGCCGTCCTTTGTGGTGACCGACGCTCACCTCCAGCACACACAGCAGCTCCTCCACGTACGCCCTCTCCGTCTCCAGCAGTTCATTCATCACGTGGCTGCAACACGGCAAAACAGAACCTTCCGTCATTACGGCATCGCTGCGTTCTCGACTAAGGCTCAGAGGATGACCTTTGACCCCCCTCCACTTACCGCCGAAGCACTGCCAGGTTTTCCTCCTCCTCTGACAGAGAAGCATGCCCGATGCCACCGTTATGTGTGGGAGAGTCCACCTGTACGCGCACACATTCTTATGTAGTGTTTGACTAAACTGCTCATGATCAATGAAGGAGAATTCAATTTAATTTGGTTTAAATATTGACTGCCAGTGAAATTGATTGATAATTGAACAGTTACCTTTTTGCAGATGGAATTATCTGCAGAGTATCTTCTCTCTTTTCGCTCTTGATCTGAAGGACGGAGGAAAAAAAAAAAAAAAAGAACACTTGTAAGGATTTAAGGATCATGTCTTCTTCGTTAAACCAGTCGATTGATTATTGATCCAGGCTTACTGGGCGAGGAGAGCGGAGACTTCACTTCAGGTCTTGGGGCCACTGGCTGGACTGGTCTGGTCTGTTTGGCAGCGAGTTTCTTCAGGCTGACGCGTCTCTTCTCAAACATCTCCTGGACTGAGCTTTGCTTCTGGAAAACCCTCTCCACCTGGTCCTGAAGGGGCCCGAACACAATCCCAGTTATTGCATCAAACTCAAAAAAAAGGAAAAAAACAGAAATTCACCAGTCAAATCCATGTCCTACCGACCCTGAGCTGAGTTGTGAGCACCGCTTCATACTGGCAGCAGATGGCGCTGCAGTCGGCGATGGCGTGTAGCGGCGCCGTGTCCAGGTATCGCTCCAGCTCTTGCAGGGCTGCTTCAGCTCCATCCTGAGACTGACAGCGGTCCACTGGCTGACTGGCCAGCAGGAAGATGCCCTCCTCGCACCACCGTGACGCCTACGAGGAAAAGATTGGCAGGAATTCTAGACCACAATGTCTGGAAAAATACCTCCTTTTATTACCTGACCGAAGAAAACGATCTGACCCACACGCCTACCTTCTCCAGAGCGTGGTGGAGCTCCATCGCCCTGAGCAGGAGGTCCTTCTTGCTCCTCATCGTGGAGCTGATCTCCTCGCACGCTCCCCGCAGCTCGCTGCACTTGGGCCTGATGGAGTCCTCTGCGTAGTGGGAGTTGTCTATCAGCCTGTCCCCCTCACGCGCCAGCGACAGGGCGCGGTCCAGTGCGTCCTGTTAGGACACATCGACGACGTCTCGTCCTTAATATATCGGAAATACAGAGGGTTCGCGAAACAACCTGCCCCAGTTTGTCCTTCTCCGCCCTCTCCGTAAGTAGTAGTCTAAGTAGAGCGTTCATTATGGAGCTGGACACGGCGGGACACGTCTTTGTACGAATCAATCAACCTCTTATGCATCTCATGTGTAGCTTGTGCGGCGAGTGGGGGATGGGGACAGGGCTTCACATTGACTATATTGGCCATATGGCTTTGAGGATGCATCCACGGTGAAAGTGTTGAGCATGTGCTGGGTGATGAATCACGGCTGTGTGTGCGTGCGTGTGTGTGTGTGTGTCTTACACATGCTCTGTCCTCCAGTCCGCTGAGCTCCCGGAGGACGTGCTCGGCGTGGGCGGGGCTTACGCTGACCTCTGAGAACCCCGACAGCCGCTCTGATGTCACATCGAGCTGGCCGCGCACCTACGAAAAAACACGCACGCAGTTAACGCGCTGCCGTCGAGCTGTCCAGAGCAACGCCCCCGCCACCCCAGGAATTCAACTCACTTCACGGAAGTGCTGTTCAAAATGGCGGAGCTGCAGACACTGCTCCAACTTGGTGCGGTGACGCTCCCAGAAATCGTCAAACGCCGTCTCCGTTTCGTCCAGCTGACCCAGGAGTCTGAGAAGGGGGAGGGGGGGGGTTGATTCACTGATTGGTTCAGGGACAAGTCAGTCTTTTGCATTCATCTCCTCATACCTCTGTACGGTAGCTAGGTTTTCCAGTTCATCGCTGGTCATGCCGTATTCGGGGTCCGTCTGAAGAGGCTCGTTTATACACTCCAACAGGCGTCCCCCTTGGGACAGCGCTACCTGCAGGTCCTCCTGAAAATCCAAACAAATCATTTTCAACACTCAGCAATGACTTCCCCGCCCCCCCCGAGCACACCTTGGGATAGAAAGAAAGGCATTTGTGACCTTCATGTTATCCTTCTTCAGCGTGTGTGCCTGCAGCAGGTTGGTGGTGGCCTCGGCATCGTTGGGCAATTCGGTCTCGGCGAGCTCCGTGCCGAACGCCTGCAGGGTCTGAGCCGTGGTCTTCACCATGAGGGCGAACGCCTCGATCGCCTGCGGAGGGAGACGTTCAGGTGGCGGTGCAACACGACGCAACGGTGCCTACGAAGGAGGAGACCTCGCGTGGGGTGTACATACAGTGCGGTGTGAAATCCAGCTCTCGTGGCGGTATTCCTGCGTTCCTCCCAGCTCGGTGGTCAGCTGTCCCGGGTCGATGTAGGCATGGAGCTCAGTCACCGAACTCAGCATCACCACCTGATAAACACACAACCAGCTCAGTATACAAAGTTATGCGTTAAAAACGCAACCCAGCGTAACGTACGAGACATAAAGAATGACGGAGGCGAGTCACACCTTCATTTTGAACTCATCCTTGTTGTACTTGAACAGGAAGTCTGACAGAGTCCGCTGGAGCAAAGTAGTGGGACGTAACACCAGAACCAAGTGCAAGTTCCCTGGAAATGAACCCTGAGCGAGGAAAAACCAAGAGGGAGTTCACTTTTTTAGCAACCAACTATGTTCGTCATTCAATTAAATAGGAAATCAAATCAATTGATAGAGAGATTCCGGCCTTCACTTTTTTTCCTATAGTGAGGTTAAAAGAAAAAGATCAAGGATAGCATATTGAATTTAACATCTAAAATAAACAGTTTTGAGGACAGAATATTCCTTCACTAGTGTGCATTTGTTTGGGGGGGGGTCACATTCAAGTTCAGTACCGCTGGAGCGGCTTGAAACTGTAGAGCAGTTCCTCTGCTGCAACCCGGAACCACGAAGGTTTGTTTTTCTGGAATTTAATATCCACTAAATCTCCTACATTGCCTCACAGTTGCTCCCCTTCATCTAACAAGCTGTGACTGCAAGGTAAATTAGTCCTGTGGGGTCTTTGGGAATAACCACAGCTTGTTGTCTCTCCACCTCCGTACTGACCGGTTGAAAGCGTAGAATTGCCTTTACACAGAGAGCCGCCCGAGAGGCCACTCAGCAGAAAGGCTGAGAGATCTAAGCTGAGAGACGTGTGACAAGCTCGTTAAATCTTCAGCCATTGCATAAATAACAGCAGGAAAGACAAAAGAGTGGAGATATTGTAGAAAACATTTAAAATAATTTCTGGACCTGATCATCAAACATGATCCTGCTTGTGGCTTTGCTGTGTACTGAGCTGCTAATTGTCGTCGACATTCATCAGAATCACAGAGAACATCAGCAGAACGACAACTAAATACTGTGCACGGCTGCGGTTCAGTCTGCAAGTAGGCCTGCGCTCACACAGAGGTGCACTTACATCACAGCCATGAAATTCCTGCACGGCGTTACCACGGAAACCGCTCTCGTCGGGAAAGCGCACGGACCAACATGGAGTACACGAAGGAACTCGGCAGCGAGAGAGATGATGCAGAGAGACTGTGCGCGTGTGTGTGTGAGAGCGGGAGTCACTGATGTCCGTGTGTTTGAGGGAGTCTTTTAAAAGAGTGCTGCTACTCATTTATTTTTGGCTGACACACACATGCACACAATTGCCCACACACACACACACACACACGCTGCGCCTGCTTGTGATGCTGATGAAAGACAGCCAGGTTGGAAAATTCAACGCTCGCTCTGCATGGGTTCCTCTCCCATTTTTCCCAAAAACGAGAGCTAATATTAATCACTCGCAGGTGACATGGCGTGAGAAAGATGCAAAATAGCTTTGAATTAGATTCCTGTTCTACCAGAAGAACACCAGACAAACTCAACAAGCAACTGGAACCCATTAAATTCAATAAAACCTGAGAGGTCGCGGTTTAATTTGTGCCTCTGCATTACCATGATAATACACAACCTGCTGGCAGCAACCCCCCCTGACAGATGAACACAGTCATGCTAATGTGCACACACGTCCCCTGGACACACACTACGACGTTAAAGCCAGGCGCACTTCCCACAGATAAAGGGCGCACATAAATAAATGATTAGGATTAGAATATCATTTTCCGTTGACCAGGGTGATTTATATTCTTCTGGTAAGGAAAAGCACTCCAGTCGTGTCCACTAACGATACCCACACGGTCCTCCTGGGAGTTGGCCCTCCACCCGCTCCAACCCCCCCCTCTGTCTGCATCTCTGCTTTTGGCCCAGAGACGTGTCCACGCTGGGACAAAGAGTGACCACAGAGGATGCTCTCCTGCAACTGTTGGAGGAGTGTTACAAATTCACGCCTCTTCTCTGCACCAGTAGATCTTCATTTGGCTGCAAAAGCATGTGGATTCGGCCCGTTCCATTTGGATCTACAGTAATGGTGCACTATAAACCAGAGGTCAAAGTTCATCCCCAGATGTATCTACAGCTGTAGCACATCATTGTATCTGAAACTATTTTGAAACTGCACGTCTGATAAACAGCCCGATGCTGCCCACGCCTGTTTTTTTTTCTTTCTTTTCTGGGGGACAACCGGCAAATGACAGCAAGTGACCTTGAACGTCCTTGATGAGCGCAGAGTCTCACAGGGAGACGTACGACCTTCATCCTGCAGTCAAGCTGGGCGTGATTGGCTGGTGGACAGAGTAGGCGGGACCATGCAGGTCACCTGCTTCAGGTTGAGTTATAACACAATCCTGCTCACAATAAACAGGTTTAAAGCTGAAACCACTAGTGTATCTTTTTACATGGGACATATTTTTAAAAGCTCTAATGACTAAATAAATTGCAGATAAAAGTCTAGATTTAGAAGCTTTTGCCCCAAGACAAAATATCTCAATAAACAAATCGGTTTGCATTTTCTCATCGCATGGATCATTCCATCGAGTGCAACATTTCTTTACGAGTTCCTCTAACAAAACAGCTCCAGTATTGTGGCATCAATAACAATAACCAACAGTTGAAATATTATTAGGTTTCCTGTCAACAAAAGACACCTCTAACAAGAATATCAACCTCTGACCTGCGTTTAATAAAATGAGATTTACAAGCTGTAGAAATCACTTCTAATTTAATAATCACCAACAGTAAAGACAAAAATCACAAAACACAAAATACAGTGTCAATCTGGCAAAGGTGAGATGACTGCAAGACAAAAAGACTTGCTTCTCCACACAGATTTGATCTTTGCCATCATGTTTGTGTTTCCCTAGTTGCCTGATCAAACAAACAAGATAACCGGTGAATACATTTTCTTCACAGGTGCAGGTACTTTCTCGCCTCTGGACAGTGTTTCTTAATGCTAAGCTATGCTAACTAGCCACTGGCTTCGGCTTCACATTTACCAGACACAAGAGTTGTGTTAATCATCTCGTCCAAATGTTGGCAACGAAACAAATAAGATTCACTTTTGTTATTAATAACAGCGGAAAACATGGAAACATCTCACTTCTCTCGCTTTGTTTTATTATTAACTGAAGGGTTCTGAATTAAAGCAAATTGCTCTTCAGCAGCTATTATTTGCCTTAAAAAAATGTTTTTATGGATTTGAGTTTGTTTCTCATTAATCCACCCGGACTTTATTGTCTTCCTGCAGTCAGAGAAACCCCACAGCCTGTTAACGCCCCTCCAAGGACATGGATTGGACCATTGGACGACAGTATGATAATAGACTGGACTGGACCATTGTGATTGGTGGGGGGTTTCTTCATTGTGCAGATGTGTCCAGGTTAAACTGACTTGGTGGAGTTATTATAAAGGGAGCAGATTCATAGTGACTTATTGCCACTGTGGGGATGGTTTCTTAGAAACTCCCGGAAGAGACTATGGGATTTGATTATAATCAGTGTCCAATTAGCATACATTAGCATACATTAGCATAACGTGAACATGCTAAGTGGTGTTAAGCGGGATGAGCATCTTAACAACAGATGTGGAGGGTGTGGTGAAGCAGTGTCCTCATGTTAATCATGATTTACAGATGGACTGTATGGGGGAACAGGGAATTTAAGCCATATTACCCCGTGTGGATTGAAACATTTTGCTTTTCTACTATTTTTCATACCCGCAGTTGCTTTTTCCTGTTCATGAGTCGGTTTCCGCTTCTTCGTTTTGCCTTCTCTCAACTCATCATCCCACATTTTCTCTTTTTAAGCACTTCCCTGAATCCCCTGTCTTGTTTTGTTTGTCGCACGCACGCACGCACGCACGCGCTGTCAGAATCCGCCCGTCCACTCCGGCGTAATATGCCGCGCTAACTCCATCCAGCATGAAAAACAACACAGCTGCTTCGAATCAAATCCCACTAATGTAAAGTTTGCACAAGCTAGCAAACACACACCGAAAAAACATCAATTACTGTCGGGGGTGGCAAACCAAATCACAAACACACACACAAACACAGACAGCTGACACCATCAACTCCACCTACTGATCTGTGTTTAAAAGAAGCATTACAACATGCAGACTAAATGCACGCGGTTCAAAACAGTCATTTGCACCAGTCAGAGGTATATCATTAGCAAGTGACACACACACACACACACACACACACACACACACACGCGGTCTTACAGCGATGCGGAGCAGGGTAGCCCTGACGGCGGCCCATCGGTCCAGTCGTCTGTCGATGACCAGGATGAAACCCACTGCGGATGCTGCAACGCTGCGGAGGAGAAAGAAGCGCGCGCCGTTATCACCGGGGAAACAACTTTCCTGTTGGTGTGCGTTCGTGTACCACGAACGAGTCGTCAGTCGTTGGGACGACAGGTCCAAGTGAAGAGAAGGTACCGTTCATGGAATCAGAGAATATATGCTTAGAATTTTCAACCAACAAATGTTGAAATGTATCCCCATCTTTCGACCGTTACTACGATGTTCCTGTAACGATGTAAACGATGTAAAAATGACAGGAGAGGATATTGTGTGATGATTAAACAGCCATGCTAGAAGAGTAACAGCTGCCTGTGCATCAGTGGTAATCATTTGTCATCAGTGAGGATTATTAGAGACCTTTGTGATTACCATGGTAACCTTGGCGCTGCGTCAATATGTGTGTGTGAAAATCTTCGTCCCATCTCATTCATTCCACAGGCAGCACCACATGTAAGCAACCTCATTGAGCTAATGTGTGTGTGTGAATGCGGGCTTTGCGGCTGAGGTGCTGCCGGGCATCCTGACATCTAAACACACATGTATATCAATTAAAACGCTGCACGCACAAACACACACATTTGGGCCATGGTGGGGTTGTTCCATCTGGGTTTCACAATTAGCCAATTTTCATCATTGCTCACAGAAATATTAGGAAAATAATAACGCTACCCAGAGAACGCTGCAACATCAGATCATCAAGCCATCTCTACAGGAAAAAGAAAAAAATAGAACCACTTGAATGAACCGCGATGAAAATCGGAGAGACAAAACCCCCACAAAAATCCTTAATATCCCTTTGTTGTTATCCAGCAATAATCCATTCCTCCTTGAATGTTCCTCATCCCGCTGCGGTCCGTGTTCATCCGTTTGCAGCTCGCGGATGGAAAGAGGTGAACGCTCACATCCTTAAAGAGCATCTCCCTCCTTCTCCCTCGGCTCCTCCGCCACCTGCCTCCCTTTATCGGCCAATTGAAACAGAGCCCTGCATCTTGCTGTTCTCCCACAGCCAATCAGAATGCAGAGTGCAGACCATTGGCAGCCGGGTGCAGATAGATGGTGGAGAGAAAGGGAGGGGACACAGGGGTGGGGGGGGGACGTATGAAAGGTGATGAGCCGCAAAAAAAAAGAAAAGAAAAAAAAAACTGAGTCCGCCATGACACACACAAGCACATTTGTATAGAGATGTGTACATCTCCATCATTTCTCCTCCCCTTATAATTACGCGTGTGTATGCATGAGTATGCAGCGCTCAGCAATAAAGAAGAGGCGAAAGAAAGGGAGGGGAGGTGAGAGGGAGGATTAAAGGAGGAGGAAGGACAGAGGGTAGGAAAGAGGCGTGTGTAATGATTTCCTCAAGCCACATCTAAAACCTCTTTTATAGGGGATTATTCTATTTAGAACAATTCTATCTTGAGCTACAGTCAAATCCTTTGAATAAAACTGGGGTGTCTTGTAATTAAATATATATATATATATATATATTTCCTTCCGGTCTCTCTAAAATGTATTTTTTTATGTCTTTTGTGCAGAAGCTTTCATTGTGGCAGGCCTTTGACGTCGTGCTGCTGACATCTGCTGGCTCCATGTGGTATCGCACCTTCACAAATTGGCCAGATTGTCGTTTGTTTTCAAACCAAAAGAAGTGGAGGAGAAGGGTTGTGACGCTAACCTGGGGATGCTGCTGAGGTAGCGGAGGACATTTTGGATCTCGTCCTCCTCCAGCTCGCTGAAATCGGGGAACTCGGGGAAGACGATGACGGGGTTGCCATTCATGCTGCGGCCCCCTGGGAGACACAGAAGTCACGATTGATGGTTAAAATAGGAAATGATTTATCTAATCCTTTTTCAACACACACACACACACACACACACACACACACACACACAGGTCCTTTTAGCACAAGGTCAAGTTGCAAAGCAGATCATCATGAGGATGAATTATTCACATGCAGTCACTCTGCAGGCCGTATCGTCATGGTGACCCAACGCTGGTCCCGAAGAGCGTGTTTCTGAGCGCTTCAGTGTGCACACGTCCCTCTGTGAGCAGTTGTTTGTGCCAAACGTCAAATTGACACTTCTTTTTAAGAGACTTTACGTTACATGAGAGGACTACTTTGGACAAGTCCAGGATTTGTGTTCTTTTATTACATTTATTTCATATATATCACAAGAAAAAGAAATGGCCCGAGCATAACACCATTCTTGTCTCTAAAGGAAATTTTGCAGCTGAGTGATAAGCAACATATATTTGGCCTGACATTGGTCCTAAAGCTACAGCACAGAGGACCAGGCCTACATACAATACAGCTAAGTTTAGTCATTAGAGTTATTTCTGGAATATGGATGACACTCGTCTTACTGTGAATTTTCCTCAGACTCACTTTGATTCCAGCTCGAACGTTTGACCAAACACTTTTAAAAACTGTGGACTGCAACACTGAAATCACCCAGAGTTTTGTTGCATTACCGCAATAACCCTTAATGTGCCAATTCCTCTGCAAATTCAATCCCCATTTAGTTTACTTAAATGTGAACTATTGTGAACCCAATTTTCCATTCTAATCTAATACACGCTGCTACTTTTGGGGGAAAAATCTATCATGGGATATTTTTAAATGACCACGTCTCACAAGCTAATTATCACTAAGCCTGATGGTGGAATACCACAAGACTGGTGTGTGTGTGTGTGTGTGTGTCAGTCAGACGGGAGGGACATAAATCAAACCAACCTGGCAGGATGGCAAACTGTTTCTGGAGTTCAGAGCCAATTTCTGCAGCACACAGAGGAGCATCCTCCCTCTGCAGGATGCCATCTGAGGAGAGAACGCAGGGAGATTAGATGATGCGAGACACGTCGTTATCGTCCCGCTGTAGAGCAAGTTTACAGGTGAAACACAGATGAGACAAAGATGAAGACGGGGTCGAGGCAGTTTGAACCTCGTTCAGATATCGAGCCGATGATTTTGTGACTCTTGCGAGTCTCGTTGTTAAATATAAACGTCGTATAGGAACAGGCACAGATGAAACCGGGGGGCTGAGAAGGGCCAAGAGGAGAAAGGGAAGGAGAGGGGAGAAAGCGAGGTAAGATTTCCGTCCCTCTCGGGCCAAGCTGGATTACAGTAATCTCATTTAGCCCTCTGAGACATGTGGACCCGGAGGAATAGAGCGATAAAATAACATCCTCCGCCACCACCCAGTCGGCTGCCATGTGTGACCCACGTATTCCAAATCCAAGGGAGGGAATAGTGTACCATCGTGTGCATCTGTGAATGAAAGCTGTGATGTTTCTGTCATGTGTGTGTGTGTTTGGCCGTATGGACCAAGGCTGGCGCAGAGAGCGGTGTGAGGGGAGCGTAGCAAGGTTTCCACGCAGTGCGGCCGGCCTGGCAGCGAGCGGCATCAATTACCATCGGAGTGCAAAACCAGCAGACTGTTCGTATGTTAGAGGACCAGGCGGCTTTATTATTTTATACTTCCCCCGGGCTTCACTGTCCAGAGACTGATACCGATGACCAGGAGGTCGTTTCCATAGACACCACAACTGGAATCCTTCAACGTAAATACTAGTTTGGAAAACTGGACATTGTGATGCCATTTATTTTTAACTGAGCTGCGACCCGAAGAGAGACAGCTGTTTTTCTGCAGACAGCTCCATATGATGAAGAAACCCCGGAGGGCAGATTAACAGCTTAGATCCTCAGTAACGCTGCGTACAGAGAGTCCGTCTATCGGGCTAGACTGTGACTCACACCGCAGGTCCCTTGTGTAGTCTACGGGGAACACAAAAACACATGCGCGCACACAGTTTTAATGCCAGTGAGGGACGAGTGACAAAAACACCATCACAGTGACATAAATCCTACATTTTCCAGTAGCACAGCGAGGACAGGCGGCAGAAAAAGGGATTAGAAAAGCTGGACCGAAGCAGGACGTTGTTTAGGAAGACTGTAAAGCAGATCCACTTTAATGAACTTAAACAGACCACAGAACTTCCACCAGCCTGTAATTAAACCCAGAACAACAACTGCCATAATTAGCAGGAACCACAATGAAGGATGGCAGGAAGGCGCTTGGGAAATGAAGTAAGCAGAGCTCGCAGGGGGCCCCGGTTGCGTCCGAGGAGGCGACTGCGTGTGAGCAAGTCGTACGTCAGGGTTCACGATTCGGCGTGTGTGTGTGTGTCGACGAGGCCAGCTGTCACTTCAGTGTGTCAGGCAGTAAGCGGGGGTTAAGACCCAAACTCTGGAGCACAGTGTGTCTTTGACTATTGTCCCAATCCGCGGGAAGGTCTTACTCTTTCTCACAATGTAAAAATGTCGGTGATGGAAATCACAGCATTTGAGTCTCTATCAAACAAGCCGACAGACCATTGAGTCAATCAGCAGTCACGGTCACCATGGCAACATTTAATGACAGGTGGGAACACACAGCTGATTGATGTTAGCCGATTAAACCTCTCTTCCAATTGAAACCATGTGTGGTTTAGCGTCCACTTTCAAACAAATAAGCAGTTTAAATATTTCAAGAAAAGTGTGTGTCTATTGTTTCTACTGTTTATAACCAATGAACAACAATTGTATCGAGCTGAAACGAATGGCGCATGCTTGTTGGGTTGGATGGCGAGCACATATCAGACATTCAGGCGTCGGGCTGCTTTTCACTGGCGCTTTAACCCTAAAACTCGCCGCTTTGTCCTCGGTCGGATGAATGACATTAAACTATAGCGGCCAGGGCTGCAAGTGAACCCCTTTACCCACAAAACAACACACAGACGCAAACACACACACACACGCACACACTGGAAGTGGGGCAATGCAGCCAAATAGAAATAGTGATTATGGGGGGCCTACAAAGAATGTCCCTCCGCCTCCTTGTACCCTTCCCCCTAGCCCTGACACCCCTTCACCATTTCATTCATCCTTTTCTTCCTGGGGCTTAGCGGAGGGGAAAACTGACACATAACCAAACTCTCTGCCCATTAGAACGAGAGAAATTACAGCTTTCAGCTCAATTTCAAGCTGCTCTCAAAGAAGCCACAAATATTGCAATATCACGCGTCAAACACTTCTGCTTTCGGGATTTAAACACGAGTCGCTCAACAAGTAAAAAAGCCGACTGAATCACACAGATTCTCGAGTGTCTCCAGCTGAAAGCCTGTTTGTGTGTGTCTGCATGTGTGAGGGAGGATTTAGAGGTGAAAAGATAGTGAAGAGGGAAGGAGGAAAGGGGAAGGGGGGGTGAGGCAGTCAGGGAAAAACAAGAAGAAGAAAAAAGCATGGAGGTGCTTCGGCCTCAATGGGATGAAATGGAGGACCGGATTTCTTTACACATGCCTACATATTTAATGTGTTGGCCTGGTGCTGGTTGGTACCGGGTGCGTTTTCTCTGTGGTGGCAGAACAACACCTCACTCTAAAATACACACACTATACACAAGAAGGCGGACAGGGTTTCAAGAATCGCCATCAGCGGTTTGTTTGACAGCTGCAGCAATGAGTGCATTCTTGTACACATTTGTGTCCATTTTCCGGCCTCTTATCTTATGAGGCCAGTATCGGTCCAACTAAGTATTGGCCTCCAAACATCACTATGGTCCAAAACACCAGCAGGACACAGCGTTTGTTTGAGGGTAGAACCGACAGACTCCTCACACCCCCACACAACTAAACTATAAATGAGTGATTGCACACACACTGTGCGCATGTGTTCGGATTTGATTACAGCCAACGCTCTTTTGCAACGCAATTTGTAAAAACTCAATTTGTGGAACGCACTCTTGGTCGGGACCGGGAGGTGAAAGAGAGTCAACGGCCCAATTAAGTCCCCTGGAGGTGCAGTCCATCACACACACACACACACACACACACACACACACACACACACAGCGTTGTCAGTTTCTGTCTCACTCACAGCGCCTCCTCCTTCTCTTCATCGCTCGAGTTCCTGCAGGTTCTTATATTGCTAAACACACGTTGTGGTTTCAAAGATGGCGGCCAGCTGTTCCGCGTGGGTTACTGGCCGCAGGCGTGCTGGTCAAAGTTAAAAAGCCACCGGGGGGCTGCGAGAGCCGTATGATAATCATTTAACACACACACACGATGCTGTAGCCGCATATTGAAGCAGTCTGTTCGATATATTTTTGTCTAAAATAGCCATCTCAATATTTCAGCGGAGCCCCATGGAAAGTGTGTGATGTGGATCACGTCCAGCGAGCTGAGCCATTGATCCCGCCTAATGCTTTGCCATTAAAAAAAGAAAGAAAGTCGAAGGTCGAGACATTCATGAGACGGGCGTCCAGCACTCGGGCGTCAACGAGACCTCCTGCTCCTCCATCTGCTGCTCTGGTATGCAACAAATGGAACGGAGCAACTTGGAACGTAGACATGAAGGCACTGGGTTGGAGGAGCGAGGTCTGTGTGGCGAGGGTGTGGCAGCAGGGTTAAAGGTTGCTGCGTTGGCATCAAATACCAGCAGAGAGATGGCCAGCTGCGGCGTGTGTATTTGCATACAGAGAGGCAAGGATTTGCCAACCGCTCTGCAGCTGTGTGTGTGTGTGTGTGTGTGCGTACGTGAACTCGTGTGAGGGAATCTGAGCGCTATTATCTGGCATTATAATCATGGTTTACTCAAGTCCCATCTGTCACTGCTGTGGGGTATCTGACTCTCTCACACACACACACACACACACACACACACACACACAGAACACAAAACAACAACTAGGTCAGACGACCAGCAGTAGCCTTTAATGTCGGTGTCCACTGTTTGACCTCACTGCTTGAATGAGTGTGGATCAGGAGGAAAATCATCCAGACGAAACATTGAAATGTTACCGGTGTTCTTCCTCCACTCGGCGCAACGGTTAGGAACCCTCAACAACGGCGTCGGGCCTGACTCCGTCGCTGGCAGCGAGCCCCGAGTTACTGAATAGACGGTGGCATCATCACCTCAGCGAAACAACACACTACTGTCCACTGTCTGCAGTCTGTGATGCCGTCACAACACACACACACAGCAAAATCTAACAATAAAAAGAGAAAATTAATGGGCTTCCTCGCAGCACATATTAATACATTAAGGCATAAAAATATCCTGTCACACAATGTAAAAGTAAAGGAAAGTGCAATCCACTTGGTGTGGGCATTTATTTGGCTGCTTATTCTGAATACTCTCAATTCATCTAATAATGTTTAGCACGGTAAGAAGCTACAAAGTACTGTAGGTGAACAAATTAGCTTACACTGGTTGTCAAAATGTAAAATTCCTGCTTCTGAACTGCTTCTTTTTTACCATTTACTTCCTGCCCGGCTTTTTGAACCCTTAACAAACATTACATGCGTGCAAAATGGTATTGTGTTTAACGTACGGGTGCAACATTAATTCAGGGAGTGGGTCAGCAGTAAAACTTTATGACACACTGCAGGTGAGGTGCATTGTGGGATCGATAGAAGGTCAGCAGGAAATGTCAAATTCCTGCTTCAGCTAAACACATGGGAGCTGTTGAGGCAAACTACAAAGCGCATATACGTAAAAGCAGGTCCTCCTCCCTTCCTCGCTCACGACCAGTAGTGTGTGAGGAAAAAAAGAGCAGCGGGCCTTTTTTTTAGCGGCCTCGGGCTACGGCGCTCATTACACCGTACAGAACAAAGGAGGACGCGAAAACCGAGGAAGACAGCGAGAATGAGAGGGAGGCAAACTAGAGGATCCAGGAGGTCTCTGTTTCTACTTGCCCTGAAAGGAACTTGCAGCTGCGGAAAACACACTCCAACAACTGCTCTTTTACACAATGACCTCACGCAAAGTAAGATTCTTTA